TAAAGAATTAGGAAGCTAAGAATGTGAGGGAAGTCAAAGAATGAATGCACTTTCAACATTGCAAATGATTATGATTTATGTCATACAATCCTCAACCACTGGTTATGATAATCACGCGGACCACAACCGGGTAGTTTACGTCAGTGTACATGTCTCAGTCCTACTGTCAGTGACTTGATGGACCGATGTTATATGTTGTTTTGGTTGCCCTTAGTTTTCTTCCAACCTACTCGTACACCGGACGAAATCGCCAGTTGAGAAATACGGTTAGGGATACTTAACGAATCCCACCCACAAATGGAAACTCACTACCTTATCAGTCGATTTGCCATTCCTACGTAGTACGCTATTTCTAAGCCAGGCATTGCTTACATGGTGGTCCCAAAATACACGAACAATGCTTCAAATACACCTATTGATCAAATACTAGTAATTTATGAATATCCTTTATTCCTAATGGCCGTGATTAACCCCCATAAGATAGGACGGAGCTAACTGGTGAGCAGTAAACTCACCTTTTGGTTGAAAGACAAATATCTCTCCTATACCATATGTTGCAAGTTGGCAAAAGCCAATCTAGCCTTCTGAGTCTGTGCCGAGATTTCATTAGCCACCAGAGCGTCAGTACTGTGAGACTCCTAAGATAAGTGAAGCGTTCAACTACTTCCCTCCCTATCATTAATTCAGGTACTAACAAAAGCTAATCCTGAAGCAGCATTTTGTATTTGAAGGGATATAATTGCATCCTAAACATGCTTCCATTGTTTCTAAAGGCGGTCAGAAGACTGTATTTTGTCAGCGTTTTTACCAAATAGAACTATATCATCAAAAATTGAATCACACAATGAAAGTGTTGTCTTTATAACCATGTCTATGACAAAGGTAAACAAGAATGGGGAAGGTGGGCAGCCCTAATGAACATCACTTGAATTAACGAATTCCGATGAAAATTCACCATAAGCTCTGACTCGACTAGTAGTGATAGAGTAGGAAGCTTGCACAAGATTAATGTACTACCTTGGTACGTCTTTCAATGATAGACACCACTACGGAAGCTTACGATTAATAGGGTCGAACGCCGCCTTAAGGTCAAGGGATACAACTATTGTTGGATGTCGAAAAACATGTCTATGTTTCAGAACCTGACCAAGGGTGAGCATTAGATCTATGTATCAACGTTCAGATTTGAAACCAAAGTAGTTCTTTTTATTTGCTCTTCATGAGCTCTAGTTATATTTCAAAGTCTTATTGAGGCTAATATTTTAGACACTATACCAGTTAAACTGATTCCTCTATGATTGTAGAACGAGGATTTTTGTCCTTTCTTATGGCCAGGGGCGACCAGAGATCGAGACCAGTCAGATGAGATAATGTCCGATTCTCAGATTTTAGCTAAGCTTACAGTTAGTCTAACTGTTCAAACTGAATTACCACCCCTAAAATTCTCAGAGTTAGTTCACCAGGCCCTGTTGCTCTCCCTAGCTTTAGATTGCTTATAACCTCCCAACTTTTCTGAGAGTTGGAGGACTTACATCAATTTACCATTCAGTTTACTTGGAGGTTGTTGAAAACTGAAAGCCAGTTAAACTGTTCCCTAGTGTTCTGACCATCGGTCCAATCTTCTAGACTGAAAGTGAATAATAGTCCCACCTTTTTCCGAGACGGTTTCACTAACAACCGGATTTTCAATACCTGTTTTCTTGATAAGTCTGAACAATTATCTAGTGTTACCAATTGCCGCTGCCTCTTTCATCGCCACTGCTTTCGTTACCCACTATTGCTCACGATAATTGCGTAGGCTTTTTACCAGCTAACCTTCAGGCTGCCTCGACTCCTCATTGTGTTCAGAACCAGGCGGGATGCGTTTCTGGGCATCTAGCAGATCAGTAAACGTCGTTGACGCCTCTTAACTTCTTGGTTTAAATACTACTGATTTCCACGGATTTATGGATATCATCTCCACTTTCATGGTTGGCTAACTCCATCTCCGGTTGCTCATGAAGCATATTCCTGACTTTTCTTATCACAAAGTTAAACTTAAAGAGGTTTCTAGCTGTTTTTTCTACGTACTGAGACCTAGATGAACACGTGCTCGTACCACAGCATGATCTGAGTTCTAAACATGTGCTCCGGAACGAGTGGCAATCTTCTCTCTAGCCTCTTCAACGATGGGTGATGAAAATCGGGTCTAATTTGATTCCACCGTTGAATCGAGTGTGGGAGTCGCCATGTCAAATGATGTTTTTCCTTATTGATGCTTGTTAGAAACAGATGATTATTTGAGCATAGTTGCAGATTCTATTTGTTGAGCCACGAAATCGCAAGAACCTCCTTTGTGCCTTTCGGTGTGGTTTAGTCTACCTATGTAGGGATTAAAATCAACCACAACCACTAGATCACCTGAGCAGTTAGCTTTTTGAAGCGGGTTAGAAAACGTCCTATAAAGTTCGTCTTTGACTTCATCCGGGTTCTAACCAGTGATAGCGCAAGCAGTAACAACGAAGAGGAAAAGCTGTGTCCCTAACTTTTCGAGTTCTTTTCGTCTCGTTTAGTCGAACAGCACTTAAGCGACTGTCTATCGTAATACAGTCTAGGAGAGCCTGTCCTACCTTTAAAATTAATGTTTTACACACACCAATAAGGTCACACGAAGTATTAGTGGGGTCTCCAGATACACAAAGGGCGGATCAGGTCGGTTCTTTATATTTACAGGCCGAGGTTAAATGAGAGACTAATTGGATCCTGTATGTGCAATTTGGAGTCGCAGCATATATTGATGGTGAGAGATCCTAGTGTACTAAGGAAGCCTACTGTCTTATCTGATACAGGGTTCGGATATCAAACGCTCCAACACAGAGATCAGGAATAATGTTTCGTGAATTGAATCATTAAAATTGGTGGCACAAGGTGATAAATATTTGTAAGAAGGGTTAGTCATGTGGATAGGATAATTGTTAAGAGCTGAGGGAGAAATTTTATCGTGAACAAGATGATCCCGACCGTTGTTGCTACCTTGACGTGGTGGTCGGGCTTGCCTATCGTGATGAAGCAACCGAGCTATACTGGCTGGAACAACCGTTCCTCAAGGTCCTACCATGTCAGACAGGTCGGTTGAAGAGCGGTAAGACTAAAAGCAACAAACCCAAGGTCCGAAGGCGAAGTCGTACTGCTGACTGTACAGAGGTGTGACAGCAGTAAGGTGTTTCCTTCAGACAACCAGCATGACAGCGATGCTGCCTTCCCACAAGGAGGGGTGGGGTTAGAAAAGGTCGACCCTAAAAATGCACACCTCGCATTATCCCACGGATATCCGTCTCCGGCGGTAAGGTCTCAATAAGTACGGAGCTAACACAAAAATTACCCATAACAAGGTCGTGTGTGACCGACCTCAAGCAGTTGTCCCTTGGGCATTGCGGTCACGCTCTCAGGTCACTAAGACCACCTTTAATCCAAATTCCTTTTCAGGTACCTCCAGAAGGACCCTTCCACGGTGTGGGCAACTGGGAAGTGATAACTACCCTGATACCACTAACAGCACTCAAGACCACTGTATTCATAATCAACCTCCCTCTTCAATTCCTATTATTCCTCCTACATCGACTTTCACCTCTAAACTTCCTTTTTCGGCTTCCCCCTCAAGTGTCACCATAGCCAACGATTCTAGTGCTCAAAACACTGTCCCAGGTCTACTGAAACCTCGCTCCAAACTACACATTGGAGCCTTCAACGTACGCACCCTATGTCAAATCGGTCAGCAGGCTTCCTTGGCTAAAACCCTAGAATCTCGTACCATTGATGTATGCTGTGTCTCCGAAACACGCATACAGGATCCCAGTGTGGTCATTCACTTGACCTCACCTCGGCAAAACGGAGAGCCAACGAGGTACACCCTTCGTGTATCTGGTGACCCGATGGCAAGTTCTCGTGGACTGGCAGGTGTAGGCATAGCACTAAGCATGAGGGCCGAACAAGCACTGTTAGAGTGGATCCCCGTCAACAGTCGTCTATGTGCTGTTCGGCTGAACGGCTACGTAAGAACTCGGAAGGATAGGAACACACGTCGTTGCCTTTTTGTCGTTTCTGCCTACGCTCCCACTGACTGCAGCTCAGATGATGTGAAAGATGAATTTTACAGAAAGCTGTCCGAACTTCTTCAGAAAGCTAAACGCTCAGACATAGTACTCGTAGCAGGTGATTTTAATGCTCAGATAGGCAGTTTAAACCAAACAGAAAGGCATTTAGGTGGATATTTTAGTATTCCGACACAGCGAACAGATAATGGTGATCGTCTGCTGCAGCTATGCTCAGACAATCGTTTATTTTTAGCAAACACAAATTTTAAGCATAAGGAGAGACATCGTCTAACATGGCGACCCGCTACACCAAACCAACGATGGACTCAAATAGACCATATTGCCATCAGTCATCGTTGGAGAGGGTCGGTAGAAGATTGTCGCTCATTCTGGAGTACCTGCTTGGACTCCGACCATGCCCCTCACTGGACGCAAAAAAGCCACAGTAAAAAGACCCGTTAGAACTGAGTTGAGTAACGAGAAAACCAATATATATATATATATATATAACATCGTAGAGATTTGTGTAAACGGAATGCAGGACACATATCAAATATCTTAAAACCATGGTGAAAAATATGTACGGAGATAAAAAAAAAAGGTTATTAGGTAAACATTTGTGATAGAAAAAAATTAGAAAAGAAAAACATGGATCACAGTTACTTTGTTAGACAATAGACAATAAGTAACGTACACTCCACTTGATCAATTCCGCCTCTCTCCCATACAGTCACAGACATATAAATATTCCAAGCAAACAGAGATACAGTGGGTAGGTATAAAGAGATTGGATAAACATAAATTGATATGAATAGGAAACACACTATTCAAAATGTATATTTTTGTTACCATCAGTTTTGATTTTCACTCTTACATACGCATCATACACATACATGTACGGACGCTCTTTTCATATTTTTTTGTTTTTCACATTGCATCAAAATGAAAACGTTGAGATTCTTTTTGTTTTTCTAAACGATCTTCACGAAATTCAAACCATTGAAGAATACCAATAATAATTATGAGTAGAATACAAATACATAGTAGTGTTATAGCTATATATAGTACTTTCATATTATATAATGGTTGGAGAAACAATTTCATAGTCCATCTAAAAATATAGCAGTAGAAAAAAACGATAAAATAAAAATCATATAAGTATGTGCATAAATATTTTAATTAACACAACTGTGTTACATAGAGAAGTGTTAGGTAGATACCAGGGAAAGAGACTAGTAAAATTTAGGGAAACAATTCTTAAAAGAGTCACAGTTTGTATCTCTTTTTCTAAACGAATTTATCAAATAATTGGTTAATGAAATCTTCATATTATTCTAATTGTGAGCTTTCGTTAGACGTGTTAAACGTTGTGATAGTGTAGTAAATGCTACTTACGCTGACAGATATAAGTAGTAGAAGAAATGAGAATTGGAATACCAGAGAATAGAAGACTGAATTGAAGAGAACAGGCAAGGAGACAAATAAAAATGTTAATAACAACAGAATTGAAGGAATCGTGATTCATGTGAAAGATAAATGAAGGAAGATGTGAAAAAAATGTAATTAATGTATAATTTTCATATTTTACTAATCCACTGTGTAATATTGCATTAAATAGATAAATTGGTTTACTCCACATGACTTTTCGTTCACTAAAATAGCACCCATTCGTCAATAAATTATAGTTATCAGAAGGGTTTTTTGCGGATATTAGAGTAATTTCAACCATTGAAATTATTGTTAATTAACTAAACATGTGTTAGTCAATTTCCTGTTACAAAAGTCCTATATATGTCGTACAGTTGTGTATGACTATTGAGATTTATCGTTTGTTGTGACCTCACATTTTATCCATATATTCAAAATGTATTTTTTCATTCTAAATAACAATTTAAGGTAGCTGATCGTTTTTTCTGGTACTCTGACTAAGTGTAATGAATAAGGGGAAGGGTGAATTTCTTGGGGTGCTATTGATTGTTAGCGTATATATAAATAAAGGTGTGAATGAGGTTTGCGGTATTTGCTTAGAGGAAGATCCACAACAGAAAGTAATATTAATTCTATATTGGCCAGCGAATTATTTGAAATCAATAGAGGGGGATGGATGGAGAGATGTACTTAGTTTAGAACAGCTTAACAGTCTAATTTATCATGTTTCGTGGTAGGAACGGTATTCTTCTTTCTCTAATCACTGAGTCATAATCCCACATAGTTTAATAGTTTCAACCCCAAAAGTTTTCAACACAGACGAAAAAACGTCCATTACTTCATAACTTTTAGTGGTTCTGTATATAGTATCAGCTGGCGATGAGAAGAGACTTTAATTATGTACTACATTTGAGCAAAAACTCATTATGAAACGACAGTATGAATATTATGAGATATATATGACCAGTTTGGGAAACAATTGAAGATAATCATTGCACGGAATTAATCTGTATAAAAGTTACTAACTATAGGATAATGCTCATATTATTTTTAACTTGAATCATGTTACTTTAAAAACTATCATTCGGTAATACAATTTACTTTCTAAGCGACAAAAGGAATAAATAGACTTTCTTGATGATTAAACGGCAAAATAAATGTGTTTACAGTAAAACCTTCACGGAAGGCGGCTTGCTTGAATATCTGGGCTACCTGTTCCTGCCATCTATATATTTCTATAAGTTATCTGTTTCCTCGTTTGTCTTAACAGGTCACTATGTCAATTGACTGAATAACCTGTTCAGGTGCGTTTGTGAAAAGCTTACAACCTTCCACTGTACAAGTTACAAAAACGTACAATCAGAGACATCGTGATGGCTGGCAATATACATTGAAAAGAACGAATACTATTCAGATGTCAACTACTAATATCTAACTGGCGATCACTCAATATTTATCGTTAATATCGATCAAGAAATAAAAAACGGAAACTCGCTGAGGTACTTTGTGCTGAGAACTCTATATTGTACCAAAAATATAATATTGAATAAAGCTAACAATAAATAAATAAATAACCAGCTAGGGAGTGTTCACATTTATGTCCCTATTATTAGAAAAAATAATTAACCAATATCTTTCTTCATACAAATCTGACGACTTTTGTAGTCCTGAGGTTATCGATGAGTACTGAACTCTACCAAGAAACATACTTGTCAAAGGTGAGTATATAACCACATTTACTGACCAAGAAAATAAAACTCGAAGCTCTTAAAGAGTCAATAACTTCTGTGCCAAAAAATATGCTCTAGATGAACATCAATTTCAAGGGTGACATGGCTGTAAACATCTTAGAATAGAGAATCTCAAACTCATTCGAAAGAAATTCATTCGCACAAAGTTTCTAACCGATCTAACCTCATCAAGAGCTTAAAGGACAAGCTATCATATCTAATCATATAAATGTATATTTATCAAATAACTTTTACCTTGGAATGTAAATATATTGATAATTTAATATGCGTTCTATCCAAGATGGTAAAAGAAAATAACTCATCATGGTTGCAAAACAGATGGCAATGAGTTCATAAGAAGCTCAAAAGTTGGTCACCTTTTAAATATTGATCGTTCGATCAAAACAGACTTGTCTAAGTCATATACACAGTGAACAGAAAGCTATCAACGGCAATAAACATTCCTTATCATTTCCATTGTTAAAGCTTCTGCAACAAACACATTTAGGGAAACTAGGCCTATACACACAAAAAAGGAACTAACTGAATCTATTCTACAATAATTGTAACCTTTCGTTTCCTAAGGTCATCACCCTTACTCCCTCTCTCCTAATTCTCTTGATCTTTTCATAACTACCGTCATTAACTGACCTTCTTTTTTAATGTTTTTCTGCCTCTCTGGTTAAATTGAACTTCAATTTCAAAATCTATACCATCTTATTACTCAATTACCCATGAATATTCATGTATATCCACAATTTATTTTTATAACTACATTTTCAATCTCTTCATAAGGATAAAAATTTCTTATGGATTCCACTGCTAGCCACTATCCATCTTTTCTTATAATGCTTGTAAATTAAGACAATATCGAGGCATACGCACAGTATGCACATATGCCAATAAGAGACTGATTAATTTCAGTCCTAAAACATCAATGGGAAGATTCAAGTAAAACAATACCAAAATGTCTTATGGTTTATATTTTGCATCTCTATCCGCCACTTTTGTATTCATTAAACAATTGTCATTATCAGTAAACATATCATAGTTTACTATTGTGAAAAATAACAGTATATACATATTTTTACAATTGTACAGAAATAAGATTAAATCATTTACAGAAAAAGATAGAAAATTGTCTTATTTTATAAACAACTTACGCAGAAGGATTATCTAATGGATATGGATTGATAACAATTTGAGCTTTTGGAACAATAAACGATAGTAAACGTGATCGAATAAGCTAAGAAAGTGTAATAGAATGAAAACTTATTATGATTATTCATAATAATATATTTGAATAATACACAAGTGGCGTTTCATTCAACCAAATGAACGTAGTTACAAACTTAAATTATTCACCTAGAAAGATTATGATTAGTATATACTGATATATGCTTTGAAAGTGTTCAATATACCAACAACAATGAAAATATAAGAAGTCATGTGTCAATCCAGTATTAAAAAAAGAGATTTGATTTTGTAAAGAATATAAACTATGTATTATATTTAAAATAAAATAATGCATACTACTATACCAATGAACAGGATAAGTTACATAACCAATATTATGAATAGGGTTTTATATATAACAGCTAGTTAATTTAAAGAGGATTTATTTCGTAAAGAGTAGGTGCATTAATTCTTTGTCTTTTCTTAAATTCTAGTTCTTCAAACTACTTCGTACGTTTTTCTATTCCATGAATCCATACTTTCTTTTCAAGTCGTTAATTTTATGCCTAATCTTTTCTACTGCCACCAACATTATTACTACTTATACTGTTTTGGTATATCTATTTGCTATTAAGGTGTGAAAACTTTCACCGATGCACGTATGTACCACATTCTTTATTGCGTATGACTGATTGACCGAATAACTTGTAAGACCATACATTACTTCCTATTTCCATTGATAAGTTAGTTGTGAAAGGATGTTTACGAAGAATTATTTAATGAACGTATTGGACTTCACTACAGCCACCATTCATCAACTTTGCTCAAAAATGCCTATAACTGATGGTAATACACTCTCCTTCCAGTCTTTGCACAAAAACAGACGGCTGCGCAATATCGAGAGTTGGTAAACTATATAAACTACTGAATATCAGCTCAGTAGTCTGAAGGTTAGGCGCTCACTCAAAAACCGGAGGGTTCTAGGTGCACATTGTCAGGTAGTCTTGTAGTAGAATGCAGCAGCTGTCTAGTGTTTCCTGGTTTTTAATGGTTGTTTAACTAAGATCAGTCCACGAAGCTAACCATATAAAACAGAAAAGTATAACACATGATTAAACTGTCAAGGCAAACAATATTTCTCATTAATTAAAGAAATTGACCAAGTTTGTTTTTTTGGTGAATTTCGCTTACCAAGAACACATTATATACTATGCTTCAGATCAGGTTTTGATGTGATAATTATAAATATTTTTCTACCATACTAACTAAATTAGGTAGAATAGAATTTGGAGCTACAGTGAAGTAACTGAAAGTCCATTGTATTAATTGTTCAAAATTACTACAGCTTATTTGCTAAAAACATTTTTATTTAACAGTTATAAATCAAACATTAAGAAAATATTTGAAATACAAAAATTATTAAATAGTTAAGTAATAATACCAGCCTTAAATAAGTAGCCACATTTTGCATTAACTATGAAAAATCGACCAACATTGTCAATTCATATAAGACAATGCCGAGGTACCATTCTCATATTATTAAATAATTCTTCCACTTTTGATAATTATATATAAATGTATATAAATTAAAAGTAGTCCAAAATGTAAGACCAATAATTTTTGAAAATAAACGATTTACTTCTCTCGATGGTGGTATAGAAATTGTCAATTTTTCAACATAATTGGCAAATTGACCTAAACCAAATATTTCAAACGGTACTTGAAGAGCACTACAACAACTTTGTGAACTTAAAAGTGCAGCAGAAAGATGACGACCTCCAGCAGCAGCTTCAGTGTTGAGGTATGAACTTATTCCAGGTACCATAAGACCATAAGGTAATCTACCATCTGAACATGAATCCGCAGATGAACAAAGTCCATTAAGAACAGTAACCTTATAGTTAAAAATGGAAGAATTGAAAGTAAATAATTATAGATGTATATTATAAAGTGTTCTTAATTTAAACTATGCTTTAACGACAAATTAATAACATTTAGTAGAGTGACTTTAACGTCATGACACATACACGAACGAAAAATGCTAACATAGACCATCTTATGGCAAAATCCAATAAAGGCTTGACAACTACGTATTTACAAAACAACATATCGCTATAGAAAACCATCTGTCATTACAAAGCGGAAGTGGCTGTTAAATAGGGTATATATATATATATATATATACGTTCTGTCGAAAAAAAGACAAATAACCAACTTTTGTTCTCGAACAAAAAAAGCCTTAACGTCACACTAGTCGAATAATGAGAACAATAGACTGATGAGTTATTTATATATTGTTATGTATTAATTGTAAACGTAAAAATATCATGTCATACAGTTCACTTGATGTTGACAATACTTCTATTAGATCAGTACTGATTACGCTGAGAGAGCTGAGGGAATTTGTATCAACTTGAGAAAAAAATACGAATGTACCACTATCAGTAGTGAGTTAGTTTTGCAATGAAAAGTGCAAGATTCTATGTAATATATATATATATATATATATATATATATATATATATATATATATATATTCTACTAAAGGAAAATAATCCAATAAATACCTTTAAGAAGTATGGATCAGTATCCACAGTACTCAGGAATAACTGGGCTGATGGTTGATCATGGGGATTTAAAGAAACCATAAAGAAATCCAAAATACTCTACAAGTAATAAAAATGGAATACACCATAACACAGTATATAGACGAGGTAAATGTAGTTCAGTCATGCTGAAAAAAAAACTTTTTGGAAAAACTCTGTCGGAAGAAAAAACAAACAGCAAGAAGACACGGGGTAGTGATGAATGTTCGCATTATTTAATTACCGTAGACTCACCTTAGTAGAACGATGGTTAATTTGACTTCCAGCTATTGGGTTGTATATTACTAGCCTTCACATGAAACAGTGGGGCTATATATTAACAAGATCTAATTTTAGAGACGTATATTCTAGTACATTACTTTTAATTCCAACAGAAATAATATTACAAGTTATCTACAACTAAGAAAGTCCGTTCTCATATACTAACGTAAAGTTAAATGATAGGTGAAAAATTACAAACGAACCACGCTGTTGGAGGAAGTCCATTATATACCAACTCAAGGTCTTAGTCTACATGTCTTTGCTTGAAGGTCATAAGGGCAATCGTACATACATTATAATTCGGTTTGGTAACTAAACCCCCTGACTTATATGGTCTTCTTATTTGCACAGCAGGTTCGATTTACCGCGAGAAGCGTATATCGTGACTAAATCGGACATCAGAACATAACACTAATAAGAATCCAAACAGATTAAATTGAATTTATATTTTTGCTCGGACCAATATTCTGTAATCATTTTATTCTTATTCAAAAAGATACAAGCGGCAATCTCAACAGCAGTAGATCGTCAATAAAGTAGGCTTTATAATTTTAGTTATTTAACAAATATTTGTCATGCATCATCCTGCTTAAACTATGTCGTACAAGTTCTCTCACCTCATCTAATTCAATGTAATATCCCAAAGAATATAATGAGACTAAACATTTAATAGCAAGTATTATCCATAAGAAAAATTCTTACATCATCAGATTGATCGAAAAATGCCAACTGACGTAGTCTAGTATTGTCTGGTGGCAATTGAACGCCCGGAAGTATAGTAAGTTGAAAAGTGAGAACTCCATTAGAATTTAATCCTTTATTAACGAACACTCCAGGATAAACACCCATATTTTGACCACTTTTTGACCAACTCGTAACACCTAAACCTAAATCAGGTTTGCCATCCATATTGACATCACCAACTGCTGGACCAATTAATGAACTAGTCAATAAACCAGATCTTATTTGTGGAGTGGATGTTAAAGACCATCGCATAGTATTTTCTTTAACATTTGAAGGCTCCCATATTATATTAACAGGGAACCACTAAAATGTATAAATGTAAAAAAGAACAAGAAATGAATCGATTAACAAAGTGAAACTGAGGAATGCATGAAAACAAATATTACTGACTAGTAAGTTACTTTTACATACAAATAAGTATTTATTCTTATCATGTATACTCGATCGATAAATAAAAATAATATAATTTGTTGATTTTCTAATGAAATCTTCCTGTAAAATAAGACACCAGGCAGGATAAATGTGTGTCAATTGAGAGAAGTTACAAAGTATTTACATTTGATCGTCCATCTGCATCGTCAGGTGTGTTCTGACATCTGAACTGTCTTCTCGTCTAGTCTCCAAGTGTTTTGTCAATACTGTGCTTTCGATATACCAAAACTTTTCACTCCATTTGATAACTGTTGCAACTTCGAAGCCACGTTCCGCTACGCACTGCTTACAAACATCCTTGTGAGTAGCGTCCACTACACTCCTACTTATCATAACAGAGAATAATACGGATATATGATAATCATTTCAACTGAAACACAATGATCTTAGTTTGTGAATCATTTTTCTTTTACTATTACTGATAATTTATAATACTTTGAGACAACAGAATAACAAAATATAATGGTGATATTATGAAGAAATAAAAGAGAGAAACCACGTTATAATCAACAAGTAAATGAACACAATAGTTTTTTCTTAAAAAGAACAACTATGAGATTTCGTTTAGTAAGAAAAATTAATCTCAATCTTATGAACAAAACATTATAGTACTACAGAAAAATTAATATTTTGATCTCTGGGACGTTGACCAAGCAGTTGTGATAGATCTTTAACCTTCATTTTGACTCCAATTGATAAAGATAAGATATATCTTATTTTTGACTTCATATATAATACTTCAGTTAAACCCATTGTGTGATGATGGTATTTAAGAGCCAAATACGAATAGCGTATGGACCTATATTCGGTCACCAGTTACCATGATACTGCATCTCCTAACGTTGCTCTGCCGCCTTCTAAATTAGACCACTAAATCAGAAGATCGGGGAGTGGGTTCTAAGGAAACCACCTGCTTCAGTTTAGGCACCCGGGGTGTATCCCAGCTCACATGCAAACTGAATAATGACTACAACTAGAAAAACCACTCACGCTTTAATTCTCATTCTCTAAAATCAAACTCAAAACTACTCATTATTGCTCGTTTTATTTAACATTGCTTCACTTGTTTATTCCTTTATTTCCGTTTTGTATATTCTTTTATTTCTCCATTCACACAGCAGCTCATCTGTGGTGGAAATTCTGTCCTATCCAAACGATCTCAAATCACTGATTGGTCGGAAATTGAGTGGTACCACTGAATACGAAATCCGAACCAGCCTTTCTGAAACCACGTATACCATCCAAATTGGCCTCCTTCAACACTCGCACACTAATGCAGACCGGACAACAGACAGGGCTGGCTGTCTTTAGAACGTCTTAATATCGATGTCTGTTGTCTATCCGGGACCCATATTCAAAACACTAGCGAAGCACTACAAATTCACTCCTCATCTGTAGCTTCGAAAAGCTTGTTTCGCGTGCGTTTATCGGAGAACTCTGTGGAATCTTTGCCTGGTCCTGCTGGCGTTGGTGTCGCACTAAGGGCTAAAGCTGAAGCAAAACTGATCGATTTGACCCCCATTAACAGTCGGTTATCTGCTGTTAGGTTTGAAAGAATCAAAATGCGAAGAAGTTGGTGTGAGAAACGATGTCTTTTCGTAGTCTCTACATAAACTCCGACAGATTGCAGCCCGGTTGCCATCAAGGATGAGTTTCACCACCAGTTATCTGTTCTTCTACACATCGTACGTCCGACAGATATTGTATTACTAGCCGGGGACTTGAATCCTCAGGTCGGGCGTCTAGGCACAGAAGAAAGTCATTTAGGTGGCCGATAGGGACGTGTTGGTCTCAGGTCAGATAACGGGGACCGTCTACTGCAACTGTGAGCAAACCATAACCTGTTTCTGGCTAGCACTAACTACCTGCACAGTTATCACCGATGTGTCATCTGGCGTCCTGCCTCTGCATTTCAAACCTGGATTCAGATTGATCACATCGCGATCAGCTGGTATGGTTGCGTACATGACTGCCGCTACTTTTGGAGTACCTATCTGGACTCCGATCATTCCCTTGTTTGCTTTCGTGATGTTAGTGTGGCTGTCAAAGGTCGGTGAGAGCAGTTTTGCTTTATGCTTGTAAAACCTGGCCTCTCCAACTTGAAAATGTTAGATAACTCTCCGTGTCTGATCATCGTTGTCGCCGAAAGATTGCTGACATCCAGTAGCAACAAAATATGTGTAATACAGAGGTTCGTCATCGTGTGTTCGGGAAGAGCGACGATAATTAGGCTGGTGTCACCATCTTGAAACACCAACTTCGATGGCTTGGACATGTCGTCCCAGAGAATTCCACATCGCACTGGGACTAGATGGAAAAAGTGGAGATTATCAGTGTATGACATAGCGTCGTGGTATCAAGGAAAGCTGTACAGGACTGGCTTCTGATAGACCTTCGTGACTCTCCAGTTGAGGTTCCAGAGATGGTGCAACACAATGACTTGAGATGTTATCAGACAAGGAAAACCATAAGGCCCGTGGCGATCCTGACGTATCATTCTTTTACTTTCATCATAAAAAAGGAAACAACTTCTTTAACTGGAAATATCCCTTCTGGTTGTATTTTTCTTCATAATATTAATAATAATAATAATAATAATAATAATAATATTAATAATAATAATAATAATAATAATATAACACAGAGAAGCTAAAACTAACCTTTCGATCTTTGAAAGAATATATATATATACTACTGGTATCCAAACATTTAGCGTCTCTGCATACAGGTAGAAGTAAATCAATTGAGCCATCATAGTCTAACATAGTAGAAAAATCAAATAATAATAATGATAATAATTTCCATCAGCAATATTAATATTATGTACATTACTATTTGGCACAATAACTTAACAGATTCACATACGAACAGAACAAATGTCAATCATTACAAGCTGAGATCTAAAATCAAAAATCTGATTGTAATACAGAGTAACTGTTTTGTTGTAGTTGAAGATACCTTAAGATGCACCTATGAACCAGTACAGGACCGAATCTAAAACTTTCACATCTCAAGGTAAATATGGTATACTTAGATAAATGAGTTCGTCTATAAAACAGACTCGTCTTTACATCTAAAGTACTACTCTATGATGATATTCTACAAATTACTAATTAAACGATCGATATTCAATATCAGTTTGATTTGATCGTCCACCAAAACTTAAAAGTTTACGCTTAGAACCTGATTGGCTAAAGGGTATCGCATAGTTCCACCTTGACTGGTAATGTGTTATTATTTTAACGTAAAATACAAGTAAAAAGTAACTTCTAAAGATTTGGACGTTGCTGAATGTTTTTCATAGTACTTCGACCGGGTTCATTGAATTTTATCATAACCAAGTTTGCTATAATAAATCAAAGTCAACAAATCAAACGTTGCGAAAGAAGTTTTGGACAACTAAGGAAATGGATAAAGGGTTAATAGGTGAACATTATCCCATCCTTACTTCCATGTATGGCGTGATTTGTCTTACATAAGCTCCTTTACAGAATTACATGCTAGTTTACTAACTCGACAAGCTAACATTCGACCAAAAACAAAGGTACTGAAGGAAGGATTAGTTATAAAGCGAAAGATATTGGGAATCAGGAAAAAAGAGCTGCAGACATTTTGTCATTGTTTCATGCATCCTTTGTTTTGAACCAAGTTACTGAAGATTACAGTCATTTAGGAGTGTTTAATCTGCCGTACACGAGATCAAATGAAGTCAAAAAACCGTCCTAGATTCTTGGGATATTTGTGTATGAATGCATATAAGTACTGAGTGATTTTATAACAAATAATTGGTTTATGTTAAACTTATACTCAAGATAATGGACTCAACAACAACACTTGACTCAATACATACAGGCTGAAAATCAGTTGTACGATATGATCGGACGGATAAAATTCACATCAACCAGTAAGAAAACAGATTACGATTAACCCATAAAATAAAAGAGAATAAATACGAGTTTCTCATATGAAATAAATTCATAATGCACAAATCGACAGGTAGAACTAAGTGCTTTGTCAATTACCGACGATAATCTTCACGTCAATGACTATCTATGTCAGTATGGTCGATCAAGAAGTCTAAATGGCACAATAACTCCGATGGATATTGGTCGTAGTGGTTTAGTAACTACGTGTTGTTGAAATCTATTCCTGATAGAAAAGAGACCGTGAGTTAGTAAAATTAGATCGCGCAAACTTTCATGTTAGAAACCTGTTGGCCCTGTCTATTATGCCCAAACTGCTTCAAACTTAAGGGGGATTTATCAAACTGGACAGTTAATAAGAGAAAATTTCTCTCATGTGAAAAGTTGCAGTTTGATCACTGAAGCCTCTCCTATATATTAAGAAGGAGCTGAAAATCCCATTAAACGCTGCTTATAGACCCTATAACTGTTTTACTGACAATACACACTCCAGTTTTATAGTTTCAAACTTGTTTTAAAATGAAAACACTAAATACTTACCGAAATCATTCAACACGAATAATCCCAAAACAGATTGTGGAGTACTTAATAACTTAGGATCGAGATCAATTAATTCAGCATTAGTTACATCAGGCAAAGAACCAATCGACGATTGAGTACGTAGTATCACCTGTAATTGTTGTGTATTCTCATTATCCACAAGGATTACAATATCTACATAAATGTCATTCAGGAAAAGTAAGTATATGAATATACAAAACTGTTAGCTTGATTGACAGCCAGTCTTAGTAATTACCCTCAGTTGGAACAAAACATAAGATTACCAAATAAAAACCATTTTTTTTTAAATTTACCGCACTGACATTGTGACAATAAAAATATTGACGTCCAGTAAAATACTGAAGTATAATTTTAACCTGTTATTTTAACGATAAACTGTTTAGGTATACCCAAGTAAATTGCTACCTAAAACAAAACAGTTTAGCGCCAAAAGACAGTTTAGCACTAATATACCAGTAATGATTACACAACGAAGGCGCTCAAGTTTACTGAATAACAATCATAGAAGTCAACCTCTATTTTGCACTGTAATATGACTTAAGAAGCAGAAGTGATAGAAGTATAATATATACTGCATTCGTTATGTACTTCAGCATCATAATTTATTTATAGAAGTGAATTATTGGTATTGTTCTATTGGCTTCCACAGAGAATTTCTTGTCGCATTTCAGTGACAATTTCCTTTAATTAATGTGTAGGAAAATCCAATGCTGATCATGTTAAATATCATCTTGAATTTTGTTAATTCTTTTATTCTATCAACTTAATACGTTATTTTTCACCAATTATATTCCTGTCTTTCCCTTCTGGGAGCTAAACTATATAACAGAAGCAACCTATTATCTTTATTACACAAAAAAGCTGATACAAGAGACAATGATTTCACTGTATGTATTTGTCTAATCAATAAAATCATAAAAGGAAAAAGGAGCCAAATACAGATAAGACAATCAATGAATTATTTTAATAGCAAAACGGATATCTAATGGATGCTGGAATTATGTCCAGAAACAAGCTTGTTTGATTCCCTTTATTATGTAAGCATGTACTATTGAAGATATATGTTAAAACCTACGTACTGTAAAAATTAAAAACTATTTTATTTTCCAAGTAAAATATATTACAACACTACCTAAGTGAATGTTATGCATCTCATCTGCTAAGCGTACATGTTTACGTAATCAGATTCTAGCCACCATTTTTGGGTTAAGGCTAATGAATCTACTTAGCTGTCCAAACCGAAGTAAATGGAATAAGAGGTTTAAACCTGAAAATTATTGATTGAAAGTCACTAACTGACTGCTCCATAATACTATTAACACTGATTACAAAGAATATACTTATAATATATGAATAATTGTTTAAAAGAGAATTTCAAAGTGAAAATACAACAAAATCGGTAATCACATATCAACTTTTTATGAAAAGTAAATCTATTTACGAAGTGTTATATTCCAATTATAATACAACTTTCTATATGATGGTGAGAAACCAACAAAAAAAGAGAAAAGGAAAAACAGGCTTTTCAATGCAACAACATTGCGACAAGTTTCCAATTGAATAGCTGGCTTACCAGGAACACCATCTCTGTTGATATCCCCGAAAGCTGAATAACCAAGTCGAGACCATGAAGGGCCAGAATAGGCAGTGGATAATTTCGTAAGCTCATTTCTATAATATTATTATTTAATAAATGAATGTGAACAAGTTAAATTTTAAGAGCTCGACAGAGCAATATTGTTTGTTATTCGAAATAGAAATTAGATTACAACAACGTTACATAAATTCACCAGCTGAGTCATTTAACTTGTTTTGTAGATTTTATTTTATATTATACAAACGGTATGATGATAAAATTCTAACCGGATGCACAGTAGAATAAGAACTGGTGATTCAACATTAGTTTAGATAAATTTGGCACACAACAGTCAATCAGCAACAACGTAGGATCAGGTATATATATGCATCGTCCCAATTTGCCATACTTCATTAAGACAACAAGATAAACACCTAATTCATAGAAGTAGCTACTTCAATGATAGTAATATATAAAAGAAAGATTGAGTATAAGGATATAATACAATAAGAAAGATATAAAGTAATTTTAATCTCACGGACGGTGCTAATTTCTAACTTCAGACAATAGGTGGAGGGTTGCGCAAGATTATGGATCGATTAAAACTAGATATTAACGCCGTTTAATGTCGGACCAGTGGTCTAGAGGTTAAGCATTTCCGTGCGAAACTGAGGGTCCTGAGTTCGAGTCCCGAGAGCGCGATCGTGGATACGCATTGCTAAGAGGTCCCATACTAAGAAGAAACGGCCGTCCAATGCCTCCAGGTTTTCAATGGTTGTCTAGTTTAGACAGACTCATGAATTCAACTATTAAAACCATACATTAATAAAAAACTGGGATGATGAAAAAGCTAAACCTTTTAAGATCCAGTTGACAACAAAGCTTTGATTATACTCGGAGAACAAACAAATAAATCAAGAAATTAACATACCCGCCTATATATGCTACTCGATGTCCTGACACTTCGCCGTATACATCAGCAATCATATCAGAATTTAAATCGCATACTAATGGTTGAGAAGTAAAAGTATCCAGAAATTTTGGTGAACCTGAACATTTATTAGGAATTTTAAAAAAAGTAACAACATTAGAAGTCATGTCTATCTTTAATATTTTAAAGTAAACTATTTTAAGAAAGAAAAGTGTAGTTGTAAATTCTCTTTAATCAAAACAATAGGTGAAATCTCTCACGAACTTTGTATAACAATGAAAAATTCACATTGTTTTGGTGAAATATCTAATCTACTTAGAAAAAGAGACATGATAAGACAAAATTAAGTTAGAGGAATAGTTGTTGTTCAAATACTTAGATGTAACTCACCAATGAAGTACAAACCGATGTATTTTGCTTTAAGTTACACTATTTGTATGAGGGCTAATCATACTTACTATTTGGATGCCTAGAATGAAGTATATGCAGTGAATTTGGAGCTATACCACCACTCCACTCAGGTACTTAAAAGTCTAATATAAATTATAATGAAATAATAAACTATATGGTATTACCGTATATCCATATTCAACGTACACTATAATTATAAGTAAAAAAACTAACCCTCTCGTAAACATTTTGGAGCGAATAAGCTTTTTCCTGTCAAAAATGTTACAAAAAACCGACACACAAGAACATTAAACAGTATCTATAGCCTAGTTACACTACAGAAAATCTTTGAGTTGAATGAACAGATGAATAAAACTAGCAATGTATGGATGTGTGGAGAAATACTCTGATGAAACTAATTAGTCAAGATTTTTAAGTCATTTGATAAAGAAGTGAAGTACGGTACCTGATAATTCAGATCATATTAAACTAGTTTCATGAAGATAAAATGATGGTAAGTTTTTATGTAGTGTGTTTATTGACTAATGTGCCAATTAGACATTATTAGACAACACCCGATAGAATCCGATAATAGCTTGGATTTGTAATAGTTATAAGGTTTATCAGTGGGTATGAAGAGCATACACGCTTTAAAATAAAAAATAGGTGCATTAATTAGATTCCGAATTTCCCAGATAATATCACATCTATTTGAGCAATTAGTTAGAAGTTAAAATGATTTTCGTCAAGAGGTACAAAACCAGTCAGAGAATTCTTGAAAAACAGGAATAATCAAATGGATATTTCGTGCTAATTCCTCCTCCTATCCAGTGCATACCTACGACTACAAACAAGATCGACCTAGCAAATGCAGGAATCGTTGCAAGCACGATATCTTTATGAAGATAAATCATATCATGTGTAGCGGTATGAATTTATACTTGATGAAGTGTACCTTCTAACTCATCTGGCAACAGCCCAAGATATTAACATTATATTAATCTAAATTTCTGTAATCAAACTGCCAAGAAATAACATTAATCTGTACAACACACGTAACCGAGACACCAAACAGATATGCGCCACACTACATCATTCGATTTGTGTGAGGGCTGAGATACTAGCCGGGCGCCAAAACCGGGGGGGTGGTTTTCTTAGGAGGCCACTCCCCGAACTTTTGGCCTAGAGGTCTAATCCACAAGGCAACGGAGTGACGTCAAGAGATGCAGTCCTATGGTAGCCGGTGACCAACAATAGGTTCATACGCCGTTTGTTTCCTTAAGATCCTGGAGCCCATTCACACGATTGTTTTCGAATAAGTGTTTTCTAACTCTCCAAGGTGGATCCTCCGTATCCACCAACACGATTAAATTACCGGACATTCGCTTTTCGTCCTCTCAATTTCGTAAACAACCCCACCGCGAGAAGGCAGTGAGTCGGACTTTCCTGATAATGGCTGTATACGCGTAGCCATGTGAGAGCATTTAGAGAGGGAGAGATGACTCTCCCCACTCTAGGCCATATCATGGCATGTGTGTGCCATGTAACCAGGTTCTAGACTAGACTTTGATTTAGGTAAAGTTGTGAGATAAATTTATTCTTCTGTATAAACTATTATTAACTGTAAAGAAAGCTATGGACTTAAGAGGGGATATGAATTAAATCGATCTGCCTCAATAAGAAGAATTTTGAACTATAGCACCTAATTTTTAACTCGAAGCCGGTAGCTGAAACCTATCAGTGATTCCATGGGCTGATGCCACATCTCAGTTTCACCACTGCTATCTTCCATTCAATTTACTCTTACCGCAGTCAGTATCGCTAGTCAACGTAGAGGGGCATTGGATATAGCATATGTCCCAGCCACCTAACTCAATGAAGAATCACAGCATCGTCACAACCGACCATCTTTACCTCGACCCAAAATACCTAATTCTAGCATTTCTCCCTCCGCTGTTCCATCGAAACCGAGGAATGCTTAGAAAATATTAAAGTTCAAATACTAGTAACGCATGTATTCCCTCTTCTGTCAAAGGTCATGTTTAAAATTCATCAATATGAGTAGTTGGGCTGAACTATCACAACTCAACCCTCCACAAACAAGATTTGTTGTCTATTGATTTAACTTGTATTTACTTGAGTCGCAATAAAGTTGATTTGTGTAGGAATCAGAAATCATAAAAACATATGATCTCATAACACAGAATATATATCACTGTAGACTTACCGAATTTCCCACGATATTCACCACTTGAGCCATAAGCTACATATACATCAAATGGTCCCCCATCTGAACTACCGGTGACTAGTAAAAGATCAGTCCGAGAATCTCCATTGAAATCAGAAGTAGCAACACCACGAACAGGCTTAGACAAAGAATTACCAATTATTTCAACAGGTGGAGAAAATCTCACACTAGATGGTATTGGTGAAGTGGATTGAAAACCTTTATTGTCAGATTGTAGAACAGCAAATAATTTCGAACCATCGCCATTGGCAAATATAATATCCATTCGACGATCAGCATTTAAATCAGTGAATGCTGCCAATTGAAAATCTGGCCAAGCATTTATTTGTTGATAAAAATCAGATGGATTGTTATTTAAAACAACATTTTTATCCGAACTCACCAAAAAGAATAACAATAGTAAATAAAATTTAGTCACCATGATAAATGATGGAATACGGATTAATTTCATTGTCGTATGAAGCAAAACGTTAAAGTTCACTGGATGTCAGACAAATCTAGGGAAGTGAATAAACAATAAATTGCTTTTAAGAATAGTAACGACAAACTGAATAGTATAAGTCAGAATATTTTTTAGTCACTGGAGTCACCTCTTACATCACAGTTACAAATAAAACAAGATATAATGCAAATATGCATTGGCTCAAATTGCAGTTCGAAAAGAAAGAATTACTTAGTGTAACAAAAGAGAATGTGACTAATTCTGAGCTGTACTTGAAAACTTCAACTACTGATTGTGATTACTGTGTACACCTTGACCAAGTAGTCGGCACTTATCAACATGGCTTAAAACAAGTCAACGACTCCATGAGCTGACGTCACATCATAATTGAACCATTCTTCACTCCTTGTATGCATTTTTAAAGAAAAAAAGTAAATAAACTGTAGACATAGGGGAATAACCATAAATTGAGTAGGGTACAAAACAAAGCGCTTTAATTTATTTTATGGTATACAAATAATTGACGTTGAAGTCAGCTATCCTTGAATTGCACTACATTAATTTGAAGTTTTATTTTAAATGAGATGAATGAATTAACAAAAATGAATATTAAAATTGGATGATTAGATTTGAGAACAATTAATGATCATATGGAATCGAAAAGTTAAATCGACGGAAACCATTCACATAATGAGAATAAGGAAAAACTTCTGATAAATTTATATTGCACATGTACACAGAGTATTCTTGTAAAGCTTTCTAAGTGATACACGAGATTATAAAATGAAAAAACAGAATGATGGCTCTGCAAAATGATCTTTAAGAATTCCTATATAGGTGATTCAGTGATCAGTTATTATTTTCAGTAGGTATGATTAAACTTTAAATATTTATTCACATCGACTGTTTTATTGACCTAATTTTCAACTTCTTTAACTAGTTAGTTGATGAAATGAGTTTATGTCCGGAGCTTTAACCGGATCGGTGGACACTGAGGATCCACCTGGGAAAGTTGGAAAACCATGATTCCAAACCAATGATCCACATGGGCTCCAGGATCCTGAAAGAACAAACGGCATATGAACCAATAGTCGGTCACCGGCTACCATAGGATTGCATCTCCTGACGTTGCTCCACTGCCCTGTGGAGCAGACCTTTAGGTCAAAGGTTGGGGGAGTGGCCTCCTAAGAAAACCACCTGCTTCGGCGTAGGCACCCGGACAGTATCACAGCCCACACATAAATCAAGTGACTTTTTGGCGCATATGTATTCGGTGCACCTTTGTACCAGTGTTTATGTGTTCAAATAAATAAATGTCAAAGGATGTGTAGACTAATTTTAAGAATATTTTCATCACCCAATAAGCTTATGAAATTTGCTCGATTTACACCTGCATCATGAAGATAATCACGCCCTTTATATTAATAGAATCAACTCTAGGAGACACCAGTTCTGAATGTAACAATATATTACGTTCATTTAATAGGCAGAACTAGTAAATTAGTTGAAACAATGTGTCTTTTATCATATCAGAACAAATATTTGTTCCATAAATTTATTTATCAAAAAAAACACAAAAAAAACAAATATAATAAAAATAAATAATCAAATTATTATCATCATAAATTTTCCTAAGGAGAAAAATCAAATAGATTCCTTATCTATCCTACAATTCACCAACAATACTACATAGACATAGAATATCCATAATATAAAAAGACATAAAACAGGGTGAAAAAAGAAGGGAAGAAAGATTTCTGAAATAAAAAGAGGTGAACCTACTTCATACATCAGCTTGCATTGAACGCATTTTCAAGAAATAATAAATATATTTATAGAGAAGTTTCTGAACAAGTTGAATAAAGTATTGACAAAATAACTTAGAAAATAATCAACTTTATTACATAACTATGAACAGTAATAACTAGGTCTTTTTTCATCTTTTTTTTCTAGTCTTTTAAACTTTTATTTAATAAATAACTAATGACAATGACGATAAGACTAAGAGAGAAAATAGTTCTTTGATGCTGCGTAACTAATCCCCATAATATATGTTTATTTGTAGATTTTGAAAATGGTTGACGTATTACTGGTGATCGGTTTAGTAATTTTTGCTCACGATATTTTAGAATACGTTTATTGCCTAATTCAATCAATTTGTCTGGTTCTAAATCGATGTAAATTTTTAAAGCTTCACGGATAAGCTCCTCAACGGGATGTAGTTTAGGTAGACGTGCAAGTGTTTGATACAAAAGAGCAAAATCCAACGGTGTTGATTCCACTTCTTTGGCACTGATAGTAATTATCTATGAAAAGGGGGATATTTTTAATTTTAAGACGAAATCAACAATAGTTTATTAATTATTAAAGAGTAAAAAAATCATGGAAAGTGTATAAAACAGAAAAGTAGACAATATACAACCATTTCATATTCTTGGAACGTGTCTAGCAATAGAATACAGCGGGAACGTTCCATCGCATTTTGGATCCATTAGCTGGATGTACTTGAATTTCAGTGTTGATGTGATATAACGGATTAATGGAAATCTTTTCTCTCGTTCCACGATATAGTACGATAAGACTGGTGACCGAGTTTATACTACCACTGGATTGAATACTCGATTTACACGTTATACACAGATTAGATCACGTCATGCCATATACCCGATTCACAATCGCAAATAGAGAACCAGTGTAACTCTAGACAACACTTTACTCCACACAATTACAAACAATCACTCGCAGTGAGTCCGTGGTAGATATCAATAGAATGAAAGGAAATTACATATTTGATATACAATAAGCTGTGTGCCTATTTGTCCACGCTCAGTGACCAATCATATTTACTTCCACTACCATATATAATGTTTGCACAGAAATTTGGAATCACTGTGTTTAGCTTCAAACGAACAATTTGTTTTCCATTGAGCAACTGAATCTACATGGCCACTAACTTTTTCAATAAGTATAAAGGTATCAATAAGGGCTTGCAACTTCACACTGTTGATATTCAGGACTGTAATTGATTAGTCTCAACTATCATGTATGAATCGTAAACGGACTGCCTTGATACAGCATTATATCACAAGTTCTAGTAAACTTCCAAAATAGAAACCGGCCAATTGCAATCCCGAATATCAACAACAGTAAATTACAAAACCTTAGTAATAACACTAAACAATTTAAACTGTTCAAATTCACTAAAAAATGAAAAAGGAGTGAATATATATATATATATATATATATATATATATATATATACAATGTAACTGATCTATCCTTTCAGGAGGTGAAAATATTCAACACTATTACACAATTTACCCTAGATGTTATATAAAATACTTTGGGAGTTTATGTGAACAAATTTTAAAACACAAATTTAACGCCAACATTCAAACACATATTACTGAACAACTTGAAACTTTTAAAAACAAGTTTTCAGAAAACTGAATCAAGGTTCAAGTGTTCATTAGACAAAACTATTTCGTCTGTATACAATAAAAACGCAGTACATAAATGTGAAACAATTGATAAACGGGTCAGTCTCCAATAATTTAATGTATCCATAATAAAGATAAATTTAAAAAGTAAGCCTGGATAATTTTAAAGGTCATTAATCATAGTCATTACTACAAACAAAAACACTAAAAATCCATAACTAATTTTGACTAAAGGGGTTAGCGGAATATGGATTGGATTAAAGCACGTTCCGTGCAGTATTATGTTGGGGCACGCTGATTCTCAGTCAGTCAGGTGCAACGTAGGACCAGGCACATATATGCATCGGTCCAAGTTGCCACACATCATTAGCGCAGCAAGATGAACACCGGATTCATAAAAGTAGTTAATTCAGTGGTAGTAATATATAAAAGAAAGATTGCATATAAGGATATAGTACAGGGAGAAAGATATGAAGTGATTTTAATCTCTTAGTTTAAGGGAAGACAGCGAGTGTATACACCGGCCTCATTGTGATCGATTCTGAGCCATGTCATCCAGAGTCTCTAATCATTGGTTACGATAGTCACACGGACCCCAACCAAGTAGTCTGGCTATTTCTTATCCAATCAGCGCTAGTGGATACTTGGGAAAGACTCTAGAATCTTCTCGTGCAAAAACTATAAATATAATAACGGTTTTCTTATTTTAACTCTTACTTTCATCTACCTTTTTTATTTGGAATGTAATTCAGTTCCTGTTTAACCATGCTCTGATTTGAGGATTTGTCGAGTGAATTTGTGTCCAAGATTACAAAGCAATAGGAATAACTAGGTCATAATAAGAGAAATTATAACAAAAGGTCACAAGGTAGTATGAGGTAACTTTCCAGAATAGAATCCATAAAGAAAATTCTGGAGAAAGATATATCAACTTTTTATTATCCACCTTTTTAATATCCTATTACATTACAGAAGTAGTGAAATCTACTTCGATATCCTATTTTTTTAAATGATACAAACTCACAGCAACTGAAACATAAACCAACATGATAGGATCTGTTGCTAAAAATAAATCGAACAGGCGTCTGACATCATCCATATTAGGTAGAACATGAGCAAACCAAGTAATAATCCAAGCAATAGCGAAATCTGGGCCTAACTCAACAGATTCTATACTATTCAGTACAGAAGTTGAAACATGTTCTAACAAGGCGAATATCAATTGCATGTATTCGAGAGTTACATCCATAGATTTCTGCATGAACAAACTATTGAGAATGGGAATTTAAAACAAAAATTAATCAGTAGCTATCGTAAAAAAAACTCATAAAACATTTGGACAAATATACATATACATGACATTTAGTTGACTCATAATTCTAGCTAACTATTTAAGGTTATTCTGCAAGTTCATTTTAGCAAACGTTACTCATATATTAAAAAAGTTTTTACATGAAACTACAATATATCTGCTTAATTAATCAACATTAAATTAAGCAAATTTAATTTAGTTATGGTTAGCGAGTTACCAGTTATAAGCTTTATACATCTTCAGATCGTTAGTTATTATTGCTATGTATCATCCCCATGATTTAACCATACTACTTCTAAGTTCTGTAAGCCCATTCAAAAAGTATCAATAGAATTCAAATGAAGTTCTTAATGACTCTAGGCTAATGAACACTTTTTATTCATGGCTAAAACTCAATTATGGTTTACATTTCGATCTCAAGTCTTCACAGAGGTGAAGAGATAAATCAATCTGTGTCTACAAAATCTAATGATAAAGCTGACCAACCAGAGGCATTTCAGTTTCACACTAATCTCCTGCATCTGTACATAAAAGTGCTTCAAATTATCTGGGTTCTGAATTCTGAAAGAAGTTAAATTATTTTATACCCATAAGATTTCTAACTGATGGACAGCAATGCTTTGCAGACATCATGAACTAGCCCAACACTACTTGAAAAATAAAACAAACGAGTGAATATTTTCATGTGTTCAACAATACAACTGCTTTATTTCCACCTGAATCCTCGAAATGTTTCCAGGCGTTGACGTTTGTTACCACGTGGTCTCCAGTCATTAGGTTAACATATATGTAACCATGATACTTAATCTAAAGGCTAATAACCTTCACGAATTACATTAGCAATTTATTTAAACCTATGTAAATGGTTCCCCACCACTACCACTATCAACCACACCCCTATTTTATTCAGTAAATAATAAATTTCAAGTATCTAAATAGCACAAAAACATTTAGGTTTCCTTAAAACATATATAGCATAAGACCTGATAACTACATAAATAGTTATTGATACAGTGTAGTATGGAAATAAAAGGGTGATATAAGCCGTTTAAAAAAGTGATGTAATATCTTTGTGCTTTACACACTTAACGTTATTAAGAAATTACTAATCCACACACATCATAATGTTACAATACTCCAATGTCCAATTCTAAACAACTTTAGTTCACTGTTCAGATTTCTCTCCTAAGTGTTCATATGAAGTATGATAAACCGCTACCTGTTCAGTCAGTCAGTCAGCTAAAACGTAGGACCAGGCATATATATGCATCGTTCCAGTTTGCTATACCTTATTAAGACGAGATAAACACGTAATCCATAGTAGTTACTTCAATGAAAGTGATATATAAAAGAAAGATTGTGTATAAGGATATAGTACAGGAAGTAAGAATTAGTTCGTAAGTCGTGTTGACGGGAAGACGACATGGAAGGTGGTCACGGAGCGGTTGATCGCGGAGTTCGTCAGCCCAGTGGACAGGGAAGAAGCACTGAAGAAGTTCCGGTTAGCGAAGCTGTCGATCGATAGTAACTCACTGGTGCTGGCTGCGGAGCTTACCAGGTTGTTGCGCCGCGCGCTGCCGAATCTGGATGAGAAGTCGGAGGCACAGCTGTTGGCGTCGCAGTTTACCGAAAGCGTGACTGTAACCATTTCCCAGCAGCTTAAACTAGTAAACGCCGCACAACCTATGGATGTCAATGAGCTAGTGAAGGTTGCCCGAACAGTAGCTCCGGTTGGGTGCGTAAGTCAGGAGATAAATAGTGTTGAGAAGATTGAGGAGCTGCAGCGTGAGATTGCGGTAATACGAGTGAATCATAAAAGGAATGATAAGTGTTACACTTGTGGAGGGACAGGACATTGGAAGATAAACTGTCCAATAAGACGAAGACGTAGATTTTTAAACGTTATCACGAGTGTTCTTTCTACCCTAGGAATCTGGGGGTTGTTGCACTAGTAGACAGAGGGGTATTCTACACAAGTCAGTCAGTCAGTCAGCTACAACGTAGGACCAGGCACATATGTGCATCGGTCCAGGTTGCCATACCTCATTAGAACAGCAAGATGAACACCGGATTCATAGGAGTGGTTAGGTCAAAGGTTGCAATAAGGATATAGTATAGGAAGAAAGAATTAGTTCGTAGACAGAAAGAATGAAGTGATTTTAGTCTCTTAGTTTAAGGGAAGACAGGGAGTGTATACACCTACGCCATTGTGATCGATTCTGAGCCATGTCACCAAGAGTCTCCAACCATTGGTTACGAAAGTCACGCGGACCCCAACCAAGTAGTCTGCATCTACCAACATGGCTCAGACTAGAAGTTAGTGACTTCAGGCACTGATGCCACGTTTTGGTTTGGCCGCCCCTAACTTTCTTCCAACCATCCCCTACCCCGGTTAGCATTGCACGTCGTGGTAATCGGTGTTCAGGCATACGTAATACGTGGCCCAACCATCTCAGTCGATGAAGATTCATAACCTCATCAACTGATTTACCATCATTCCCTAATACCCTGCGTCTAACCTCACTATTACTTACCCGGTGATCCCAGCAATATTTCTAAGGCATCTGTGGTCAAATACTAGTAGCTTACGGGTGTCTTCTACTCTTAAGGGCCATGTTTCGCTGCCGTAAATTAAAACAGAACGAACTGCCGCGCAGTATACTCGTCCTTTTATTGATAGACGGATATCTCGCCTTCGCCAAAGGTGACGTAAGTTGGCAAAAGCCAAACGAGCTTTTCGAATCCGTGCTGAGATTTCGTCAGACACCAACCCATTAGGGCTGATCAGACTTCCAAGATAAGTGAAGTTGTCAACGCGTTCAACTACTTCACTCCCTATCCTTAGTTCAGGTGTTGACGGAGACCAGTCCTGAAGCAACAACTTGCATTCAGAGGGGGAGAAGCGCATCCCAAACATTCTGGCATTGTTGAAAGTGTTATTTCCATCAATAGGTCTATGATGAAGTTAAACAAAAATGGAGAAAGTGGAGAGCCTTGACGGACACCACTTGAGGTTGCAAAAGTAGATGACAGTTCGCCATAAGCCCTGACTCGACTAGTAGTGTTCGAGTAAAGAGCCTTCACAAGGTTTATGTACTTCTGAGGTACGCCTTTCAATGACAGACACTGCCACAGAGTCTCGCGGTCTACCGAGTCAAATGCTGCTTTTAAGTCAAGAAATACCACCATCGTCGGACGCCGATAGGTATGCCTGTGTTCTAGAATCTGACGAATGGTGAATATGTGGTCGATGCAGCCACGACCAGGTCTAAAGCCAGCTTGGTTCTCTCGAGTTTGTAGTTCACGAGTCTTAGTTAGGCGTTTGATAATTATCGAGGCTGTGGTTGTCACAGGATGATTTTGACCCTTTCTTATATATTGGGACGATAAGTGATTGCGACCAGTCAGATGGGATAAAGTCTAATTCCCAGATCTTAGCTAAAATATTAGTCAACTTAATCGCTAAAATTGGACCACCATCCTTAAAGACCTCTGGAGCCAATCCATCTGGACCAGCTGCCCTTCCTCGTTTCAGATTAACTATAGCCTTTTGAACTTCAGCAAGAGTAGGGGGACCTACTCCAATGTTCCATTCACACTGTCTGGGAATGGAGGGTAGTTGTAGAGTAGCTGAAGGCCAGCTGAACTGTTCCCTAAAGTGTTTCGCCCATCGTTCTAAACGCCTGGACTTGGAGCAGATGAGTGTATCGTCTTTTTCCGATATAATCTCACTTACACTTCACTTATTAATTCCAGTTTCTTTTATTAGTCTGTAAAGCTGTCTTGTGTTCCCTATAGTCGCCGCCTTTTCCATCTCTTTTGCTTTCGATGCCCACCACTGCTCACGGTCGTTTCTTAGACTTTTTCTTAACCTAGATCTGATTTGTTTCCGCTCTTCATCATGTTCAGAACCTGATGGGACGAGTTTGCGAGAATCCAGCAGTGTGAAAGACCTTGAAGAAATCCACTGGTTCCTTGCAACTCTGTGGTTTAAGTCACTAATAGATGTCACTGCTGTTTCCACAGCTGATTGTATGCCCTTCCAAGCAACATCTGGGTCAGCCTCGTCTTCACAACTACCTAATTGTGACCTCAGTTGTTCCTGGAACCTACTTTTGGTTTTCTCGTTACTCAACTCAGTTCTAACGGGTCTTTTTACTGTGGCTTTTTTGCGTCCAGTGAGGGGCATGGTCGGAGTCCAAGCAGGTACTCCAGAATGAGCGACAATCTTCTACCGACCCTCTCCAACTATGACTGATGGCAATATGGTCTATTTGAGTCCATCGTTGGTTTGGTGTAGGGGGTCGCCATGTTAGACGATGTCTCTCCTTATGCTTAAAATTTGTGTTTGCTAAAAATAGACGATTGTCTGAACACAGTTGCAGCAGATGATCACCATTATCTGTTCGCTGTGTCGGAATACTAAAATATCCACCTAAATGCCTTTCTGTTTGGTTTAAACTGCCTATCTGAGCATTAAAATCACCTGCTACGAGTACTATGTCTGAGCGTTTAGCTTTCTGAAGAAGTTCGGACAGCTTTCTGTAAAATTCATCTTTCACATCATCTGAGCTGCAGTCAGTGGGAGCGTAGGCAGAAACGACAAAAAGGCAACGACGTGTGTCCCTATCCTTCCGAGTTTTTACGTAGCCGTTCAGCCGAACAGCACATAGACGACTGTTGACGGGGATCCACTCTAGCAGTGCTTGTTCGGCCCTCATGCTTAGTGCTATGCCTACACCTGCCAGTCCACGAGAACTTGCCATCGGGTCACCAGATACACGAAGGGTGTACCTCGTTGGCTCTCTGTTTTGCCGAGGTGAGGTCAAGTGAATGACCACACTGGAATCCTGTATGCGTGTTTCGGAGACAGCACACATCAATGGTAAGAGACTCTAGGGTTTTAGCCAAGGAAGCCTGCTGACCGATTTGACATAGGGTTCGTACGTTGAAGGCTCCAATGTGTAGTTTGGAGCGAGGTTTCAATCTGACACCCGACCGTTGTTGCTACCTTGACGTGGTGGTCGGGCTTGCCTATCGTGATGAAGCAACCGAGCTATATTGGCTGGAACAACCGTTCCTCAAGGTCCTACCATGTCAGACAGGTCGGTTGAAGAGCGGTAAGACTAAAAGCAACAAACCCAAGGTCCGAAGGCGAAGTCGTACTGCTGACTGTACAGAGGTGTGACAGCAGTAAGGTGTTTCCTTCAGACAACCAGTATGACAGCGATGCTGCCTTCCCACAAGGAGGGGTGGGGTTAGAAAAGGTCGACCCTAAAAATGCACACCTCGCCTTATCCCACGGATATCCGTCTCCGGCGGTAAGGTCTCAATAAGTACGGAGCTAACACAAAAATTTCCGATAAAAAGGTCGTGTGTGACCGACCTCAAGCAGTTGTTCCTTGTGCAGTGCGGTCACGCTCTCAGGTCACTAAGACCACCTTTAATCCAAATTCCTTTTCAGGTACCTCCAGAAGAACCCTTCCACGGTGTGGGCAACCGGGAAGTGAAAACCGCCCTCATACCTCTAACAGCACTCAAGACCACTGTATTCTACACAAGAGTGAACATAAATGAACGAGATTTAGTGTCTGATCGATACAGGGGCAGCAGTATAGTTAATAGGCAAAGAGCAATTCAATAGACTCAAGCCATGTACAGTAGCAGTTCACACCATTCGAGGGCACATGTGAGAGGTGTTGGGTGTGTCTAACAGTATCGTAAAAGTGGGTGATGCTGAGATAAATTTCCCGTTCGTAGTAACCACAAATTTATCGAGACCGATGTTAGGAGCAGCCTACCTGAGAGAAGTAAAAGCAATAGTTGACTTAAGAAGCCGTAAGGTGGTCACAAAGTATGGTTCATTCCCAATACATGAAATTAGCGAAGTGGTTGAGATAAGAGTGGCAACGGATGTTTCGGCGAAGAAACCAAACATTAACGAGTTGTGCACAAAGTATAAGAAACTGTTTACTGGAGACGGACGGCCGTACGGATTTTTTGACAAATTAAAGCACGAAATCCCGATAAAGAACGATCGAGCAAGCATATTTGCAACACGTCGCGTCTCTTGCATTTAGAGGGTGAGATAAATCGACAGGTCCAGGGGATGTTGAAAGGAGGTATAATTGAGGAAGCGGACAGCTTGTATAGCTCGCCGGTACTCTTGGTAAGGAAATCGAACGAGAAGTACAGATTTTGTGTCGGTTTTCGAGAACTGAATAATATAACAGAACTGGAACCTTGTGCAATGCCAACAGTGGAGGAAACATTAGATCGGCTGTAGAATGCTACGACGTTTACAGTGCTGGATTTGCGGTCAGATTATTAGCAACCGCCTATAAAAAGGAGCGATCGAAACAAGACAGCATTTACTGGACGTGATAAACAGTATCAATTTAGACGAGTGCCGTTCGAGTTGGTGGGTGCACCATTTAGGTTCAGAAGATCAATGACGCTACTGCTCAAGGATCTAGGTAACGTCGAGGTGCATGGCGACGATGTAGTTGTGTACAGCCAGACAGAAACATGTGGAAGTGGTCTTAAAGCGAACTGAAGAATTCGGACTTGAAATTGATAAGGACAAGACGCAGATAGCGAAAAGTAGCGTCACGTTGTTAGGGCATAAAGTGGGAGATCAGTCAGTCAGTAACAACGTAGAACTTCGTACGTACGTACATCAGTCCGAGTTGCCACACCACATTAGCACAGAGATGCAGTTGTCGATTCAAATCCCATAGTGGTAGAGGTAATAAGAGTATAAGCAGTAATCGGGAAGATTAGGGTTTGGAGATGCTATTTAAAGAGTATAATCCAGTGAAATAAATTTGGAAAGAGGAAAAAAGGGACATGAAGAATTCAGAAGATTAGAATTTGAGAGAACACAGAGAGTGGATGCACCTGCGCCATTGCAAACGATTGTGAGCCATGTCATTCAGGGTCTCTAACCATCGGTTGCTATCATCTCGCGGTCCCCAACCAGGTAGTCTACACCTACCAACATGACTCAGTCCCCTCTCACCATAAGATCCACCTAGGTGTCTTTCCCTATCGCTTAGTTTACTTACTTGAGCATTAAAGTCACCGGCCACTATTACTACATCCGAGCGCTTAGCTTTTCGGAGAAGGTCCAAAAGCTTTCTGTAAAACTCATCTTTTACATCATCTGAGCTGCAGTCAGTGGGAGAATAGGCAGAGACAACGAAAAGGCAACGACGAGTGTCCCTATCTTTCCGGATTCTTACTGTTCCGTTCAGTCGGACAGCGCACAAACGACTGTCTACTGGGATCCACTCTAAGAGAGCTAGTTCTGCCCTAGGACTCAATGCTATACCTACGCCGGCGAGGCCACGGGAAGCAGAATCAGGGCTTCCAGATACATGAAGCGTAAATCGAGTCGGTTCTTTATTTTGGCATGGTGAGGTCAAATGAATGACGCTACTTGGATCCTGTATGCGCGTTTCGGAGACGCAGCACACATCGATGGCGCGAGATTCTAAAGTTTTAGCTAAGGAAGCCTGCTGTCCTATTTGGTAAAGTGTTCGTACGTTAAAATCCCCTACGTGTAGTTTAGAGCGTGGTTTCAGGAGACCAGGAATGGCGTTCCACGTACTCGAATCGTTTGCCCTAGCGGTGCGAGGTGATAAAGAGACGTGAGGAGGGTTAGTCATGGAGATAAGAAAGGTATTAGGAGGTGTAGGAAGGATTTGAATGTGACCAACTTGGTCTCTTGTGCTGTTACGGGTATGAGGGCTGATATCACTTCCCGGCTGCCCACACCGTGGAAGGGTATTTCTTGAGGAACCTGAAAAGGAAATTGGATTAGTGTTGGTCTTGACGACCTAGGAGCGTGACCGCAGAGCCCAAGGGACAACTGCTTGAGGCCGGTCGCGCACGGCCTTTTTGTGGAAGGTTTTTGACGTGTTAGCTCCGTTCTTCAAAGGGCCTTACCGCCGGAGACGGAAATCCGTGAGGTAAGGTGAGGTGTGACATTTTTAGGGTCGACCTTTTCTAACCCCACCCCTCCTTGTGGGAAGGCAGCATCGCTGTCATGCTGGATATCCGAGGGAAACACCTTACTGCTGTCACACCCCTCTACAGTCAGCAGTACGACTTCGCCCTCAGACCTTGAGTTGCTGCTTTTAGTCTTACCGTTCACTAATCGACCTGCCTGGCATGGTAGGACCTGCAGGAACATATGTTCCAGCCAATATAGCTCGGTTGGGTCATCACTTTAGGCAAGCCCGACCACCGCGTCAAGGTAGCAGCTTCGATCGGGAAAGTGGGAAATGGAGAAATAAAACCAGTGCCGGAGAAAATTCTAACCATAAAGAACATTGCAGTGCCTAATTTTAAAAGGAAATTGAAACAGTTCTTGGGAAGGGCGGTATTCTACAGTTGGTTCGTCAAGAACGAAATAGCAGCACCCCTATATAGGTTATTGGTGTGGCGCATATATATTTGGTGCCCCCTTGTACCAATATTTGTGTTCAGATAAATAAATAAATAGGTTGTTGAGCAACTTTAAGTTTACATGAACTGAGACCGCCCAACAAACGTACAACTGAATCAAAAACATGCTAGACGACTGCAGAATGACACTCAGACTGCCTGAACCCGAGAAACCGTTTACAGTGGCCACAGACGCAACTGATCATGGTATAGGTGCCGTCTTGAGTCAGTCTGATAGAGTAGTGGAATGCGTGAGCCGTGTTCTCACACCCGCTGAACAGAAGTGGACGACAACAAGGTTAAGAAAAGAGAGGAGGGTGGCAGTAAGGAACGTGGGAAAGAAACAAATATCAGACACAAAGAAGGCGGAACAACAGAGGTGGACGTGGAAGTCTTTTGCAGTGGTGGACCTGGTAAAGTGTGAAGAACGGAAAAATAACGTAGCAGGGAGATCAGGGTCAGGAAATCTGATTTCGAAGTGGGAAGAACAGACCATTGTCATGGAGAGACGTAGCTCGGTTTACACGATCCGGAGAGAAGACAAACGGAAGCGCGTAAATGCCATTCAACTGCAGAAATGGTTTCAAGATTATCAGGAGTGCGAGTCACGAACAGCACCAAACAAGACAGCGGTACGGAGATCAGAAAGACTGCGAGAACAGCATAGTAAAACGGGGGAAGAGTGTGGAGTGTACTACTTATACTGGCATAAGTAGTAAATGACGCGAGTCGGGAATATAATGTCTGGCAGCAGAAAATTAAGATCAAAACGGGAATAGAAAAGTTGGTATGGAAATGCAGGAACAACGAAGTCTGAGACAATCAATGAACATTTTTCAAATTAAGTATTGTAGTATGGTTTTTTTATTTTACTAAATAACTCGGTAATCTTGTATTAAATATAATTCGGTTGTCCTCACCTGTTTTTCGCTTCACTACACAGTTGTCGACGCAGGCCAGTCCTGAAGCAACAATTTGCATTTAGATGGGGAGCAACGCATCTCAAAAATTCTGGCATTGTTGCTCAGTGCTACCAAAAGACTCTGCATTTTATCAGCGTCTCCACCGAACAGGACTATGTCATCTGCGTATTCTAAGTCGATAAGTGGACCTCCTGGATGGAGATCAGTTCCCAAAAATTCAGACAACGAGAATGTAATATCAGAAGTAGGACTATGGTGAAATTGAACAAAAATGGAGATAGTGGACAGCCTTGACGGACACCACTCAAGGTTGCAAAAACAGATGACAGTTCACCATAAGCTCTCACTCGACTAGTAGTGCGGGTAAAGAGCCTGCACAAGGTTTATATACTTCTGAGGTACACCTTTCAATGACAGACATTGCCACAGAACCTCTCGGTCTACAGAGTCAAATGCTGTTTTCAAGTCAAGAAAGACAACCATTGTCGGACACCGACAAGCATGTCTGTGTTCTAAAATCTGACGAATGGTGAATATGTGGTCAATGCAGCCACGACCACGTCTCAAGCAAGTCTGACTTTCTCGTGTTTCCAGTTCACGAGTCTTTATTAGGCGTCCGGTAATTATTGACGCTAGTATTTTAGATGCTATATTAGTCAAACTAATCCCTCTATGGTTATCACAGGATGATTTTGACCCATTCTTATATATTGGGACAATCAGTGATTGAGATCAGTCAGATGAGATCACGTCCAATCCCCAGGTCTTAGATAAAATATTAATCAACCTGATCGCTAAAACTGGACCACTATACTTAGAGACATATGGAGTCAATCCATCTGCACCTGCTGCTCTTCCTCGTTTCAGATTAACTATAGCCTTGTGAACTTCAGATAGAGTAGGGGGACATACTTCAATGTTCCATTCAAGCTATCTGGGAATGGTCGGTAGTTGGAGAGTAGCTGAAGACCAGTTGTACTGCTCCTTAAAGTGTTCCGTCCATCGTTCTAAACGTCTGGGCTGAGAGCAGATAATAGTGTCGTCTTTTTCCCAGGTCGTTTCACTAACATTTGACTTCTTAATTCGTTTCTTTTATTTCTCTGTAGAGCTGTCTGTTGTTACCTACAGTCACTGCCTTTTCCATCTCTTTTGCTTTCGTTGCCCACCACTGTTCACGATCGCTACCTGTTACGTATTTATTCATGATATCAAACCTGAGACACCGTCATCCTGTATCAAAACTTATCTAAACGTAGCAACAATACAAAACATCTAATTATTAAGGAACAATGAAAAATATTTGCAATAATTCTCGGTATGAATATTTACCTGAAATGAGTTGGGATCAATTTATTCAGCAACATTCGAGATTCTCTTTCACCCAAAACGGAAAAGAATACATAACAAATATCATGGAAACCCTTAAAAATAAAAATGAGAATCAAAAATGAAAAATGAATAAATGAATAAATTCTATTACAGCAGTAAAACAAACTGAATAGTCAAAAAAGCGTTCAAATATAATCAAAGTTAAAAATATGTTGAACGAGAAATATTTGATCTAAATTTGTCAACACCAATTATAATAAAAATCATGAAGTAATATCATACATAGACAGTTTTATGAGAGTTATAAATCATTTCCTGAACTTACAACATACTTTGCAAATAATCTGTTACATTCAACGATTATCTTTATTGTGGTTCTATTTTGTTACTGGTAAAACATTTAGTGTGGTTAGCAATTTATAGTTGCAAATGAATTATAACATATGCCTTCTCCGTGTATTTCTATTTATCGTAAAATAATATCTTGAAAGAATTAACTTCACTGATTCAATACTAGTATGCTAATGGTAATAATAAACTTCGTATTATTAATAGTAACAGTATGAACTTCCACTACTCGCTGTCTAAAATGCAAGTTTGGAAATCCCACCGAAGGCTATAAAACTCTCTACTCTAAAACTGTGTGTTATCTTTCAATTTTTGGTCAGTTGAGTTGATTATACAGTTGTTTCTAAGCTTTCATTATCATAAAACCATTTTCATGACTAAATTTCTAGACCGAAATGACTTGCTATCACTATCAAATCACTTCTAATAAATAAATTTAATAATCTTATTGTAATCAATATTACTATTCTGACAGTTATACAGCTATATTTTATTGTACTTCTAACTGTATGGTCCAGAACAGACCAACTGCTATGGATCAAAGAGTCAGATAGTTCAGAAGAAGTGAAATCAATCCTTTGCTGCCATTACTTGCATGTTCCAAAAAAATCCCAAGTACTAAGTTCAACAAAGAAAATAGCCACAAATTGCTGAAATACGACGCACATTATGTTATAGGGATAACTGAAATACCCCAACGATATTAAAGCAATAATTACATCAAGTTAGATTTTAAGTTAAGGATTTGAAATACATATGATGAGATGCTGATGAAAACCTCACTTAATTTTATGGAAAAAAAATTAGGAAATGTAGTGCATATTGACGGTATAGAGCTCTACTTGATGTAGTTAGAAAGTAATAAGTAAAATACACGTAATTAATTTAATGGTCAATAACATTTTTGGATTGTAACTAGATAGGAAAGTAAATAAGAAAACCATTTAATGGGTCGTGTGTTAATAACAAATTGTGATATATTAATTACTTCATACTGCCAACTACAGTTAAAGGAACATATATTCTTAAAGATGCTATTTAATGAAATAATTAGTGTAAAAACTGGTAACCAATTAGATGACTGAAAATCTTATATAAATATAAGCCACCTTAAATTTAAGCAGCGAAGACCAATATGCATAGGTATATTTACACGTACCTGATAATAATGTAAAGAAGGGTTATCCACTAATACAGAAATCACTAGACGAGTAACAATTTGTTGCATACTTTCAATTTCTTCGGGATTTGAGTTCTTAGGCATTAAACTTGTCATACGACATGTGTCCAATTTAACTTGATGATAGCTTGGATGGTGCTTTACCATTTCAGGGTCTAATTTTGGAAATTAAAAAAAGATGGAACGAAAGTCGTACATATGAACCTGTTTTACATATAAGATGTATTTACTTAAATTAAATGATGCTGAAAAGTATGATAAAGTGGATTATTATGATGCTACAGTTAATATATTGGAAGAAACTTGCAAATCTTTCTCAGCATCATAAGCATATATGGACATATTAATTTCTACCATTCAAAAAATCATAAAAAAGTAACAGTTGACAGTAAACAACCAAGAACCATAGGCAGTAAATAAGGAACCTGAATATTCACTTTGTCAATCAAGTATAAATTAATTTGCTGGTTTCAAACTACAAATACTACCAAACTAACCAATTTAGGAACATGGAAATAAAGCAGTCTATCGACTTTTAACTAATTAGTGTAAGGACTTTAAATTCATCAAATAGATATATCAATAGTGTTTTCTTAAGTTTAAGAAATATTCACTTAGAAAAACCAAAAATATATAAAGGGATTTTACTGATTAAGTTTCATAAAAAGTTGTAACTGCAACTTATCGGTTTAGGTTTTTGAGATTTAACCAGTAGCTGACTGATTCGGGTTCTATTATCTTACTGAGGAATGAAGGCATAAAAGTAGTATAAAAAGATAAACTGACAAGTAACTACCCAAATACACTTCTCAAGTTCATAAACGAAACCAGTGTGTAAAAACTGTAGAGCACAAAAGATAAAAGAATTTCATCTAATGACTCAAGTTTCGCTTGTTGTGATGATGTATATCATAACAATGGAAACGACACTTTGGTCCTTCAACTAACTAGATCTTTATTCAACGAAATAATGTCACACTGGTTTTGAATGAAGCGACTTTCGTAAATATTTTCAAAACACATGGTGTATTCCGCCTGAAACTTACCTATGAGCACGTTTGATATCGCTACACCCCACTATTTTTAAAGAGCAAGGAATTTTGACCTATAAAGAGTAAGTGAAGTTTTGTTTATATATTAAGGATGTATTGATCGTTTTTCCAGCGCTAATTGGGTGCCCAAACATAATCACATACATTCGAGGTCAATAATTGTGTTTCATGACACAACGGATAACTTCAAATAACAGTGCATGGTTGTGTACCTGGATTGTCAACTAAAGGTTGCAAACGAACATTGTGAAGTAGCCTGAAGATATTTCAGATCATTGAATATTAAAGTACAATTATAAAGCCTGGTGTGTAGCGATGAATAAATCCCCAAAATAAATAGTCCTACAAGTCTGACATTTATACTGACCACATTAGTTTTACTGGACGTAGGATGTTTGGTTTGTGTATTTTGCATCTACCGTAGAATCGAGGGAGTACTGGTCCACTGGATTTCATTCTCCATTGGTCTTGTTTTGTTATTTCTCCTGCTTTGACTAGCTTGTTTAAAGTCTTTGAGATTTGATTGTCTAATTTTTTGACGGGATTTGTGTCCATCAGTTTGTATGTGCTCTTATCTTCGAGTAGTTCTTCGGCTTTGTTGATGTATTCTTCTTTGTCCATGATTACTGTGGTGCGTCCCTTGTCCGCTGGTATTATGATAATATCTTTTCTATTTCTGAGTTCTTTCAATGCCTTTTGTTCTTGTGGAGTCAGTTGGTTGTTTTCTTTCACCTGTTGAGTTATCGGTACTATAGTTTGCCTTATTTCCTGTTGTGTTTCTTCACTGATTCCGGAAGTTTTGAGTGATGACTCTAGTGCTGCGAAGAACTGTAGCTTTGAGGCCTCGCTTGTATTGTAGTTTAATCCTTTTTGGAGCAGGTGTTCTTCCGTATTTGTTAGTGGTTGTTTTGACAGATTGATCACGCAGTTGTTTGTGTTTTCTTCCATGGGTGGTTTTGAGATCTTGATTAGTTTTTTTCTTTAAGGTGTTTCTTCTTTGTTCTCTATGTCGTTTGCATGATATCTTGATGGCTGTTGTCACGATTTCCAAATGTTCTGATGTGAGCATCCTTTGTAGCTTTATCTTTTGGTCTTCTATGACGTGTTGGTATTTGCAGATCCTGTAGTGTGCATCCGTTATCATTAGGTGTACCATTTTTCTTCCACTTTGCTCCGCAATTCTCCATCCTAATGGGCCCATTAGGATGGAAAAGTGAGGCTGATCATTTTGATCTCCAAGCGCATTTAGACGAATTAGTTAGATGGACTCGAGTTTGAGGCTTAGAAATCAATTCTAGGAAGAGTGTGCTAATGCACATTGGTCACGGTAATAGTTACCGTTACACTATTGAGGGTAAACCTCTTCCTTGCGTTCAAGAGCATAAAGACTTAGGAGTAGTATTAGGCCATGATTTAAAAACAACTGCGCATTGCAAAGCAGCGGCTGTCAAAAGTTTTCGTGCGTTATGGTCACTTCGACGAGCGTTCAAATGCTTTGACGAGGAAATGTTTCGAATTTTATATCCCGCCTATGTGAGACCACATTTAGAGCACTGTATCCAAGCAGCTAGCTCATGTCTGGTAAAACATACCAACTCACTTGAACGTGTCCAGCGTGTGGGAACAAAATTAGTGAAGGGTCTTTCTAAACGCCCTTACGAAGAGCGTTTAAAACGCCTAAACCTTCTCCACTTGTCGTATTGTAGGACGTGAGGTGACCTTATACTGGCATTTCGTATCTTTAATTGTGATTTGGGTGTTAATGTCTTATACTATTGCTCCCTGCAGCACTAATAATCTCCGAAGTCAAAGCAAGAAGGCTCACAAGCCGCGATCTAAGAAACTTAGAGTGGGGTCCCGTTTCCTCATCGAGTAGTCAATGACTGGGAAACCTTACCCAAACGAGTGGTATTAGCCCCATCAGTGAATATTCTCAAAGTAAAGCTGGACCTTTATTGGAAGGCAATCTGTCAGGGTTAACACAGGTTCACCAACCTAATATCTTAATTACTGTAGATTGGAGACTAAAATATCATCGACGAAACCCCATAAATTTTGCTGACGAAACCTTCAAATGTTAAGTGTTACGGAACTCGGTAAAATTCTAATCTAATAAACGCTAAGTGGTATGAAGACTATAACGTATTACAAAATATTAGACTAAATGCTAACTGCAATTTCAAATGTACTTTACATTTGATTAAAATAAGGAGTAATAGGAAGTCACCTACGATTCGAGGCAAAAACCAAACAGGCATTGAAGTGCATAGAACAAACTCCAAACAGAAACTATTCATATTTCAAAATAGACATGACATGAGATGGTTTACACACTGAGTATTGATTTTACCTATATCTGGTAGTTCGCAATTTCCTCTCACTAAAATTGGCCATACAACTTTTCTAACATCGTTATCCACTAACCCATATCGACTGATTGAAAAGTGTCGCAGTTTTTTGTCATCTGCCTTTCTATTTACACATTCAAGAATGTCCTCCTTTTTGCTGAGTGCTTCGGAGCGCATACTACAATAACGGCGCCTAACGCTTTTAACCACTAGTTCCAATCATCAGACTTCCCATATTTTATGCTTCTGTAGTTGCTGATTGTTTTGTGTCAGCTTAATTATTGAATGGATTGACTCTCCTTGTATTTATTGAGCCTTTATATTGCTTATCGTTTGTTCGTTTCCAGATTCGCTCAACCATGAACACAATGTACCTTCTGGCTAAGCTAGAATCTATGGGTCTTATCTTCAGTTAGAAGAATTACAGATCGATTAACTTGGGATGAATTCTGAAGTTAGCCAAATTATAAATTCATTGTAAAGATGCCACATGTATTCGGAGTCTGACGACACCTTAAACAGTACCAAATTCTATGATCGAAACTTACCAACACAGTGAGATCAGAAGTCAGAAGAGAAGAGGCTCGGAGATATATTTGATAGAATACCGACATATTGAGAAGTGACTAATCTAGAATGGCTAGCAGCTATAGGAAACTGTCATCGCGCGTTTTTCGAACGGGACGTTTAGTCCTATTCGGTTTTTTTCAGTTTTTCACTTAAAGGCTAGATTCAGTTTATCGCAAAATGTTTCTACTCATTTTTGCCCATTTTAAGTGTACTATTTTTTACGGTCTTAGGCTTTTGCTAGCATCTATAAAACGTTTTACGTCAATATAGTCACGAAAAATTCATGCAGACGACCTGGATGTCGTTTTGCTGTTACATCTTGCATGCAGTGCGACAACTACAAAGGTTGGTTCAATGAGGCGTTCACAGACCTCACAGCAACTGCTTAAAACAGACTCAGTAGCTCGAATCATAGGTGGGAATGTGTCATATGCAACACGGATGCTGAAATTTTGCTGAGTAACGTCATTGTCCTATTGACAGGTCTGTTGAATAAGTTGTCAGCAAACTCGAAGAAAGACAGTCACAAAACAGGAAGACAAATAAGAACGCGCAATGAAAACAAGACGAGGGATCTCGACCTCGCCACTATCGATGGAGCATGTAATAACACTGGTGATGACATGATGAAACTCAGCATCATCATAACGTCGACAGTAAAAGACTCTCCCAGCAGACTTGGGTCTCCCAGCACAGGGTCCCTAAATGCAACAGTGGTTCCTCAAAACTCTGTGGGTGATTGGACCCCTGTTACCGAAGTCGAAAAGGGCCAGGCGTCTAATAAGCTGAACGTTCTAAGAGCTTTAGGAAAATCATCTGACGATTTAACCGCCCAGTCAACCCAAAGAATGTCCGTCCGGTCATCAAAGAGCAAAGGTATCGGAAACATCCTTCGAACTCCAAACAACATGGTCCCTAACCTGGAAAGACAATATAGGCTCATGACGATTCTCTCATAATCATGAACCTTAAAGACAGTCCTGACCATCCCCTCAGCCTACAGGGCAAAAGTAACAGGATGCCCTGGAAAGAGTGAAACAAGAAGTTCGAACTTCCCGAAATAGAACCCTTCACGGTCACACCACTCACTCGGGGAAAAGAATCTAAGCATCAAAATCACCCAAGGCTACTTCGTGTAACACTCACTAATTCCACCGACGTAGAGGATATCCTACTAGTTAGTCACTTACTGAAATCACATGGGAACGTAAGAATACTGTCTGACATACCATATTCTGAGCGCAATCTCATAAGAAACATCCCTAAGGAATCTCGTGAGAAGCTTTTCCGTTGATGAAATATCACTGTGCAAGGTGTACGTGAAAACACGTACCGTGACCACACAAACTCTTATATTCGGGAATGGAAATTCATCAAGCAGTCCTTTGGGCTCAAAAACATATTGACTCAACAAACAGTGAGACTGGCCAAGAAAGACGGAGATTCTAGACCCCCGCTAATGAAGACAACTTTCTCATTCTCACATATGGCGGCTGCAACTCCGGAAGCATTTCGTGTCAACAGACGTCGGTTGCCAACTGGAATCCATATGCACCCATATAGGCCACATGATGCCAGGATCAAACACAAAAGCAAATTGGAGCTGACTGCTCCACTTGTGGACTGTCTAGACCACAAGTAAACTTAAACTGTAGTGGTTACCAACTCGGAAAACCCTGTGTAGGTGGGTTACCTGTCCATTCATACAAGGCTCATACAGATGAACAGGATAAGGAAGCTCACGCGTTTCAAATTGAAAACATAAACTTCTTATATATGAACGCCGCGAGTTTATTAAATGGAATAGATGAGCTGCGTGAACTCAGTAATACTAATAATACTCATCTGGTGAGAATATCTGAAACATGGATATCTTCTCAGTTTACGGACCAGAAGCTAGTAACATCCAGGATGTCTTTGTTTCGCAATGACAGAAAAACAGGAATGACTGATGGAGTAGCCTTATACTTGCGATTTTTCCTGGAGACACATCAAGTGCACAACCAAGAGTTTATCAATCTTGGTGTATCCGTATGGTGCTCAATAAGATTTTCTACCACCTCGAGGTGTCTAGTTGGGGTCATCTACACGAAGCCCACTACTGACATCGTGTGACAATCGCATTCTGGAAGGATTCTTAGGCTCTATGCGTCTCGGATTCACTCACATCCTGATTCTAGGGAACTTCAATCATCCCAAAGTCAATTTCGCGGAACATACGTTTATTGGAATTAAAAACTTAACTGAAGCTCGGTTCTTCAACCTCACTGAGGATCTGGGATTATTCGAAAATGTGAAGTCGGAAACTCGGTGGAGAAACAGACAGACGCCTTCACGCTTAGACTGGGTATTTATCAGCAAAACTGGACTAAGACATCCCAACGACAACATGCGCTGGAATTTCAAACGGTTGAATCTGTCAGCTTCACAGGATTATCTACAGCTGGTGGATTGGGGTGTTTACCCTCAACTTGATGTGTAAGCTCTTTGGGATTTCTTACTGCACACGCTTTTACGTGCTACAAAGAAATCCGTTCCTTAAATGATCCCCAAAATCTACAAGCAACCTACAGTCATCAAGAACCGCACTCTTCGTTTGCTAAGCTGCGAAAGGCACTGTTTGGCAGAATACAAACGAACTGGTAACAACGGGGCATACAGACAATACGAACATATAAGGAACAAATGAACAAAGGCAATAAAAAAAATAGGCTTCAGTACCAGATAAAGCTTATCGATAAACATGTCTCCGATCCGAAAAGCGTATTCCGTTATGCAGCCTCTCTTCGACAAGCCAAAACTGGAGTTTCTCAACTGCTAGGTTCTAATGGCCCGACCAAAAACGACGGTGACGCCGCTGACCTTTTGGCTGAACAATACTCTCGGACATTGCAACCGACCCACATTAATTATATTGATGAGAGCTTCATCTGCAATTGCACAGGACTTCCGAAGTGAAAGTGAGCGCTGAAGTGGTGTACTAGAAACTGAACACCTTAGAAAAAACACTTCTCATGGCCCGGATATGGTTCATTCTGCTATACTGAGGGAAGCAGCTTGAATCCTGGCAACAACACTTGGTGTGATGTCCTCACACTCGCTAAGCCGAGGCAAACTACTGAAAATTTGGAAGCTGGGTCATATCGTACCAATTTCCAAAGGAGTTCGACTCAGCGAACCTTCAAGCTACCGACCGTTGGCCGTTCTCTCTATACTGTAGCGGTAAATAAATCCCCAAAATCAATAGATCTGTAAGTCTTCGATATTGGATGCTGACCACATTAGTCCTAGTGGACTCACCTAGCTGAAAGCGCTCGGTCATGCATCCGCACCATATCACGAGTGGGAACACCGTGTTCAACATCCCTCGCAATCGCTAGCCAATTAGATCAGTCGATCCTCGATGTATTGATAGCTTATTAAACATACCTTCGAACCTCCTCGCTTCTATCTTTTGATTTCATTTGGTGGGTACGACTCATAATAGAAAATGTTACTGGTTAAAGCGTTGTCAAACTCCAAACACCTGTGGCATCTTCATTGTTGAACCTAGCGTGATCTGGTACACCAAATCGCAAATTGTGAGTGTGTTTCCACCTTCGTTCCAACTAATGCCCTTCTGGCCAGACAACATCGAAGCTTGGTTCTGTTATGCAGAGGCTAACTTCCACGAGCACGACGTGATCGACACACGTGCACAATTCCTCGCAGTAGTCAAGGCACTACCGCGCGAATTCAACAGGTACGTAACACCTAGCATGTTCACTAGTGATGTTTCTCAACCCTACGAAAAATTTAAACGATCTATCCTTAAAGGCGGAGATCTAACCGATCGCCAAAGGTTAGACCAATTCCCTAATAATATAGACCTGAAACACGATTCTGCGACAGACATGTTGCTGAGAATGAGAATGGTTATCTGCCAAAGAATCTTCATTGATGGCTTATTCAGACAACTTTCCTTATCTAAGCTTCCTCAGCAGGTGCAAGCTGTGCTGATCTCGTTTCAAAACAACGCCGTAGACTAGCTGGCCGCATCTGCCGCCCACATCTTAGAAATTATGAAATCTTCTAACCCCGAGGTTTTTTCAGTCAAAGAAAATCCTCAAACGACCAAGAATGACATTACGGAATTGTGCCATACACTTAAACTTTATCTTAGATTTCGTAATAACCGTAAATGGTCACACACTCCGCGAAGAAGCACTTCACGTAAGCGAATTGCCTCTAGACCATGAGAGACGGATAACCCCAACTGGTCCCGGTATCATAACCAGTAAGGAAAGTCTTCCAGAAAGTGCGGAAAACCCTGCGATTTTCTCAACTGAAAATCAACTGACACGCAAAACAACTCGGGAAACTTCCAAGCTGGCACGCGTTAACGGCAACCGTAGCCGGCAAACACAGCCCTCTGTAATACGTCATAGGTGTGATAACGAAAGTTCGCTGCCTCGTCGATACTGTCGCAGAAGTTAGCGTTCTTCGAGCAAATTCTAACGACCGGCTTCACGAATCGGTTTTAAACCTTCAGGCGGCAAACGGAAAGCCTATTGCCACATATGGTAAAAGGTACTTTTACCTTAAAGTGGGTTTACGCAAACCCATTCACTGGATCTTTGTTGTTGCAGATGTTTCTACGCCAATCATTGGTATGGACCTTCTATAACACCATAATCTAATCATCGATATGCGTGAACGGAGGTTAGTAGACGAAACACTAATTCATCTGTTTGTGTAACTTCTTTCTCCGGTTGCAGATTATCTCCTGTCACGCTTAGGCACACGTTAGACCCATCCTATCAACCATTTCTCGATAAGTATTCTGGGATATATCAACCTCAACCGAAATTTCCGTGTGTGATCAGCAATGTTATACATCACAACATGACTACAGGAGCTCCTGTATTCTCGAAAGAGCGCCGAGTGGCCCTCGAAAAGCTGAGGTTGGCCACAAACGAGTTCAATCACATGATAGAGTTAGGAATCATTTCGGAATCCGGCATACACGACTATTTATTACCCTCAAAGTTCTTTACATCCCGACAGCATGGTTTCAGGAAAGGTCACTCTTGTATAGCCAACCTGATGACTGCGGTGGACAAATGGATAACTGTCCTTGATCGCAGGGGGAAGGTTGACATCATTTACATTGACTTCTCAAAGGCTTTTGCTAGGGTCAACTATATATGTCTTATCAATAAGCTCAAACGATTGGGTATCAAATCACCTCTAATTGACTGGCTCACTTCATATCTAAATCGACATCTTAAGGTCAGGGTTAACTTTACTTTCTGTCAGGCTATGGAACGTCCTAGTGGGGTCCCCCAGGGTTCACTATTAAGACATTTTATTTTCTTCATTTATATGAATGATCTTCCACAACAGGTATCGTCTGACTTATTACTTTTTGCTGATGATTTGAAACTTTGGAGAGAGATGCGAAACCGCGAAAATATACTGGCACTTCAGGAGGATCTGACTCGTTTTTTAAATTGGGCAGATGACAATGGACTTACCTTCAACAATTCAAAGTGTAGAGTAGTCCATCTGAGACATATCTCAGACTACAGTTACAACTTAGGAAACTCCTCTCTAGAAGTATCCCAAGTTGAAAAAGATTTAAGAGTTCTGGTACACTACGACTTGAAGTTTTACGCTAACTTTGACAATAATGCCTTTTGAGCTAACCTTGTACTGGTAACATTGAAGTGAATATTTGGCCAGTTTGACGTCAGAACCTTCCACATAATCTTTAACAGTTTCATTCGTCTCCATTTAGAATACAGAAACATTTCTATTTGCACGATCCAAATTAAGGTTTGAACTAAAGAATAGCTGTGTAAGTGGGTTAGATACGCGCCCCGGTTAAAACCACAACAAGTTGGGTAAAATGACGGTTCTTAACAAATATGACCACTCAGCTACTCAACCAGTAACTATCCAATTAATCAAATCAACTGCAACAAATAAACGCTATTCTATCCTGTCTGGATAGATCAAGCACAGATTCGTTCAAAAGATAATATTTGGTTGTTTTGTAATACAGTCCTTCCAATTCTAGAAGAGTGCCTTAATTCACAATCAAAAGGAGGGACAAACCAATATGGTTGCCGCCAAGACCAAGTAACAAGTAAAACGACATAAATGCAGTTCAGAAAGAAACATGGAAACTTAGTGAAGGCGTAAGAAAAATACAAATATCAACAACTCAAATGGAATCAAAAAGACTAACAAAATGTACAGCTAAAGGAATCAACAGGAACAAACTGCAATTGTATACATGGAGGGATTTTCACACACAAAATATTCGAAAAGGATCTTACAGTATTTCCTCACTCACTCCAGAAGGATAAGGACACTCTGAAGCGTATCCAAAGGCGAGTCACGAAATCAGTTCGGGGACTCAATTTAAAGCCTTATGAAGAGCGCCTCCATTCACTAAACGTTTACCCATTAGAGTATAGGCGTCTTGGAGGTAACCTTCCAATGGCTTACAGTATCCTCAACACTTCTGAACATCCCTTTAAACACCTACTTAAGTTTATCTCCAACACAAACCTAAGGGGTAACACCTAGAAACTAGAGACACAACACAGCAGAACGGACTGCAGACGCAACTTCTACCCCTTAGGAGTTGTCAAATGCTGGAATTCGCTGCTGGCTGAGCTAGTCCAAGCGACTTCCAAGGAGTCCTTCAAGAAGAAACTTGACCTATTCATAAGGACTAAGAATATTACCTTACTATGATTTACCAATTTCTTTTCCCTCTTTTATCGTCAATACACCTATGTTCCTGCCTGGAGGTGTTGGTGATCCACTGCTACTAGGCACGGAAGCCCGTTAAGCGATAGCTTCTTCTATATCGTCCATAACCATTTAAACCATTTGAATCATTTCGGAGTAGTGGAGCACGGCGTACTCACTTGTGATCTGGTGCGGATGTATGACCGAGCGCCTTCATTTCGGTGACACTATTAAAACTAATGCAGTCAGCGTCAAATGTCAGAAACTTACAGAGCTATTGATTTTGTTGATTTATTTACCACTAAATAACACTCCTTGCTGGTGAAGCACTGATAACTTCAAGACGTGGTCAACCAGAAGTTTATTCCTAGAGAATTTATCGTTAGTAAACAGTCTTCTGATAGCTTGTCGTGTTCGCAGGTCATTAACGTTGATGATCTCTGTCAAATGATTGGGAGCCTACTCGGGTTAGACGGAAATATTGTGACGAGCCAGCTAACGTCGAAGTCATGCCTTAACGTGGATTACCCCTCCGTCGTACCAAGGTACTATGGGTGATTTGAAGACCGTATAACACAAAGAACGTCGTTACAGAAATATAGTAGTTAGAGCAGGTACAAAGGTATGTCTGACTACTACGTCATGTGCCTGTCCATGGAGTACGATTAACTGATGCGCCTTGCTTGTCCTTCACCTTGGCAGGGATGGATGATTTGTTCGATATTCAATGAGCTAAATGACGGATGATTTGGCTAGGGATCGGTGACATTTCACTGGTCATACATGCTCAGTAGCGTTTGGTTGACTTTCCGTACTATAAGATGCCATGTGGTATATATAGTAATAGAAAAATAGTACATTGAAAATTTCGATCCATAGTAAACTTCGTCGTTTTATCCACCTTTTCCAGCCGTCCCGGAGAACGAAAAAATAATCTGTAAGTGCATGTCAAATTACATTCGTACGTCGTTAAATACATAAAACGGGCGAAGGAAGGAAAATACACTCATAAATATGTAATAGAGTTAAAACGATTATTTTCGTATTCCTTGAAAAAACAAAAGTATGAACTTGAAAGCAAGCATATTAGCAACAAAAACGTTTGTTTTATTGGAATAACTCCAAAAAAACCGAGACGAAGCAAAATGTTATGTAGTGTCTTACGTGCAGTAATCGTTCGGGTGTCGTGGAAACAGTACTTTTCTTCCAGAACGCGTTTTTCGAGTCGGCTGCCAGATACCACCAAATTGTAGTCGTGATTATTGATTATCAAGTGGGGTTTCGTAATTGTGAGACTCGTATATTCGAATTGTGCCGAAGGAAAATCGATATGAATAGGGTTTCCTTCTAAATACGCGTCTTTGAGATGATTGACGTTGATGATTTTGCTAGTTCCGTTCTCAGACATTTAATCGGATTCACTTATACGATAAAGCATTTGAAGGATTCTTCGTATGCCATTTTGAGAGGTCGTCGAACTGAATAGTAACTTACAAAGGGATGTATACTACATCGTACAATAAGTTGAACGGAAATATCAGCTGATTGCGCTCGCAGTGAGAACAGGTTTAACTGAACGCAGCGCGTTTGTAAGACTGCTGGTATGAGGGTTTAGATCCATATTCATCGAAGAAGACGAATTCTCCTGGAAGTCGGAGTATCGTTCCATAGAAGTTCTATAAAAGTGAAAATTTGAAGGTTTGAAAAATCGTCGGACTAGTTCTCTGGAATTCAGATTTGGTGAGATTGACACGCAAAAACGTCTAAGAATATTTTTCAACATTTCTGATTATTTCTATCCCTATTCGTGAAAACCAGACACTCGTTCTAAGATATATATATATATACATATATATATCGTGCACCTTTGTAAAAAATGCTAAATGAAACAGTGCAACTAATTATTTATCTAAAAGATACTCAGGAATATCGTTCCATAATCAATCCAACTAACTGAAATGAGTTTGTCTGCATATGTATTACGGTCAAAAGTTGTTTTTCTGCTTTGATTTTGATCACAAATTTGTTTAAGACCGCGCATTTTGTTGGTGGTCATATGATAGACGCAGATCCCTCAAATTTGGTGTCTTATTAGTAAGTTCACTCTTCAAAATAGTGATTGTACACATTTATTCATTCCTTTTTATCATGCTTTTTTGTTTCTGGTATGTCAGGCGGAGATACTAAGTCTTGTTACGATCAGTGCGGTTATAAAGCAGCATCTATTGCATTTCTTGAGATAACTACAGATTCTAGTTAAGCATGCAATATTTATTCCCTTCATCCTAATTGTATCTGAAATAATACAAGCAAGATAATTTAGATCACTATTTTTGAGAATTCATATAAAGCCAGGAACATTTTAGTATATGACAACAGTTGTGTTTGTCTTCCCATAGTTTGTAAATACATACTTCACGTTCCATGTTTGCAGGGCTAGATGGTTTTAGTTTTATTTTCTTATCCTTTCAGTGCATAATAAACCTATTTAGTTGTAAATATTAATTCTCACTGATTGTTCATAAAATTGTCGAATTTTGTGCCATACATTTATCATTTTTGCTGGATTTGAACTCGATTTTTTCGTTTTGTCATGTCTATCCAGAGTTACGTTCTGGTAATTGGGGTCTTCTAGTGCATATATTTAGGTGTTTCTCACCACACCAAATTGATTTTCATGTGGTTTGCTCCCATGCGATTAGCTATAAGATTCATAAAGTATGTTCCATATTTTTGTGAACCTCGGTTGTTTCAGTAATGTGTCTTCTCTTGTTAGTCAGGATCAGTATCTTGGAATTACGCCCAAATAGTAGGGGCGACATGTGTTTTCCGAAGTTTAGTATTCGTATTGACAAACAGAAACACTTGTAATAAAACAGAACTCGGTAATTGATTCTAAATTTGTAGAAAATATGACTAGATTGATGTATAGTCTAAGTATTCGGAACCTATCGTGAGGAACAGTGCTAACCGCTGTGTTATGATTACTGAATTTCGTTAATGATGAGAGGTCTAGACGCATAAACTCGTGCACTTACAATTCTCGAGAATGAGGCGTTTATTTCTTCGTCCCCAAAAATAGTTATTGTTTATGGTGGAGTTTTGTTCTCTGAGCTGGATGGTTTGGTCGTGGAGCTTTCATCGTTCTTCTGAACGACATTGTTTAACTTGAATACCAATCGAACTAAGAAGGTCCTGTCAGTACTGCAATAAACTAGTGTATTTGAAATGAGACGGAAGTAGATTCTTTCATCATATCCTGCATCGCTAGTTGATGTAAAGCAGCTAGCTACAGATTAGATTTATTTACAAACAAATGTTATGATATAACGCTAATTACCCAGCAAGTTTGTATTAAGGTCTAATAATGTCCTAAAATCTTGAGATTAGACATTAACTTAGTTATCTTTGGATTCCCTTACCTGAAGTTCGATATATTATTTCCTGACAATTTAAACAGGCTATTTCTTCTCACCTAGGAATTACGCTTCAGTCTCATTTCCATCTAGGAATGTAAATTGTACGGTACTCTAGAGTCCTTTCTGGAAAGTGACAAATTGTACGTTGTTTCGAACTCTTGTCTGTGTCATCTCATTTTACTCATGATAAACTGTTTTCGGTGATGAATATATGTATGACTTTTTTGCAGTATATAAATATGATAAGCTTATACTTACACTGTAGGTTAAGCGTTTGGAAGTTATACCCTAGGTTTTGCGAATTTAAAGTTGGTCAGCCATGTGTAGCATACAACCTGGCTCATTCATATCGGTTCAAGTTGGCACACCACGGCACAACTGGACAAAATGACTAATCTAAATCCCAGTGTAGTTGGAAAAGTAATAGCTCCCGTAGTTATAAAGGTGGGTATGAAAAAAGTGTGGTGAGATTTCGGGACTAAGGTACTAAAGGAAGGCAAAGGGTGGATGCACCTATACCATTGCGAATGATTATGGGTCATTATCCAAAGTCTAAATGTTGGTTACAAAAATCACCCGAACCCAAATAAAGTAATCTGCGCCTACTTTCGTGGCTCAGACCAATCGTCAATGACTTTATGGACTGGTGTCATGCCTTTGTTTGCCAGCCCCTAACTTATAGTCTATTCCTACGCCAGACGAAATCGCCAGTCGAGGTAGGAGCCTGGGCATGCTTAGCGCGTCTCAACCACCTCATCAATCAATTTTCCACATTTATCTAGAACCATATACCTAACCTAGCTACTGATTACTCGGTGGTACAAAAATACCTGAATAATACCTCGAATACACATATGATCGAATACTACTAAAATACAACTAGTATTTGGAAATCAGCAATTTCATTTACCTCAGGCTAAACTATTCCAGTCGTTAACGTTACCTGTGTTATGTTTAAAGAGATGACGAGTTCACCTAATCTGAGAACCGTTATATCGAACTAGTAGGAAAAGTCATCGTCTACTGAACTGGTCGGGAGGATGTGTTAAGACATTCTGATATGTTGCTCATCGATTACATTTGACTTGCAAGCAGCATTTGACTCTGTAGACCGAGAGATTCTATGGCAGCGTCTGTCATTGAAAGGCGTACCTCAGAGGTACATAAACCTTGTGAAGGCTGTTTACTCGAACACCAGTAGTGGAGTCAGAGCTTATGGTGAACTGTCATCTGTTTTTGCGACCTCAAGTGTTGTCCGTCAAGGCTCTCCACTTTCTCCATTTTTGTTTAATTTTATCACAGACCTGCTGATGGGAATAACATTCGACCGAATTCTCGGGTATTGACCTCTTTCCAGGGGTTCCCCTTTCGACTTAAAATACGCATATGATATAGTCGTGTTTGGTGAAGGCGCTGATAAAACTCAGTCTTTTGGTAGCACTGAGCAACAATGCCAGGATGTTTGAGATGCGTTGCTCCCCCTCTAAACGCAAGTTGTTGCTCCTGTTTCGGTCTGGGCACCCGGGCAGTATCAAAACCCACCCACACACAAATATGGTGTGGCGCATATATATTTGTTGTCCTCTTGTACCAATATTTATGTGTTGAAATAAATAAATAAATAAATGTTGCTCCGGGACTGGTCTGCGTCTACACCTGAACTCAGGAAAAGGAGTGATGTAGTCGAACGCGTTGACAACTTCACTTATCTTGGATGTCTGATCATCTCTAATGGGTTGGTGTCTGACAAAATCTCAGCACGGATTCGAAAAGCTCGTTTGGCCTTTGCCAACTTACGTCACCTATGGTGAAGGCGAGATCTCGGTTTATAAATTAATGGACGAGCATACTGCGCATTAGCTCTCTCTGTCCTACTTTACGGCTGCAAAACGTGGCCATTAAGAGTAGAAGATAGTCATAAGCTACTAGTATTTGACCACAGATGTCTTAGAAATATTGTTGGCATCTGCTGGAATCACTGGGTAAGCGATAGTGAGGATAGACGCAGGGTATTAGGAAATGATGGTAAATCAGTTGATGAGGTTGTGAATCTTCATCGACTGAGATGGTTGGGCCACGTGTTAGGTATGTCTGAACATCGATTACCACAACACTCAATGCTGACTAGTGTTGGAGACGGATGGAAGAAAGTTAGGGTCGGCCAAACGGAAACGTGGCATCAATGCTTGAAGTCACTAACTTGTGTTCTGAGCCATGTTGGTAGATGCAGAGTTCGTGGTTGGGTTCCGTGTGACTATCGTAACCAATGGTTGGAGACTGTAGGTGACATAGCTGAAAATCGTTCACAATGGCGTAGGTGTATACTCTCTGTCTTCCTTTATATTAAGAGATTAAAATCGCTTCATATCTTTCTTTCTACGTACTAAATCTTTCTTCCTGTACTATATCCCTATATGCAATCTTTCTTTTATATATTACCACCTCTGAATTAACTACTTTTATGAATCCAGTGTTCGTCTTGCTGTGCTAATGCGGTATGGCAACTTGAATCGATGCACATATGTACCTAGTCCTACGTTGTAGCTGACTGACTTATCGGCCTAGTTTCATTTATGTAGATCTTGCCCACTAAAGTTAACTTATTCCAGTTCATTAACTAACTAATCCTACTGTTCGTCAAAAGAAGGATAGATTATGCCTCACTGAACTGAACAGACTATTTGTAAACCAGACACATCTTATTGCTTGTATGTAACGGTAAGAGTAGAAGATATTCGTAGGTTACTAGTATTCGAATACAGGTATCTTCGAGGTATTGCTTTTATATCCTGAGACCACCGAGTAAGTAATTCAGTTGTTAGGAAACGGGTTTTAAGTAAGGATGACAAATCAATTGATGAATTAGTGAAACTTCATCAGTTGAGATGGCTTGGACAAGTGTTACGTATGCCCAGACATGCGATGTTTCATGGTGTAGTAGTAGGTTGGAAGAAAGCTAGAAGCGGCCAGACCAAAATGTGGCACAAATCCATGAAGTTACTGACAAATGGACTGAGCCATGTTGGTAGGTGTAGACTACCTGGTTGGGATCCGCGAGACGATAGCAACCGATGGTTAGACACTTGGAATGACATGGCTAAAAATCGTTTGCAGTGGTACAGGTGCATCCACTCTTTGTGTTCTCCCAAATTCTAACCTTCTGAATTCTTCATGTCCGGTTTTTCCTCTTTCCAAATTTATTTCACTGGATTATACTTTTTGAATAACATCTTCAAACCCTGATCTTTCCGATTACTGCTTATACTTTTACTACCTCTATCACTACGGTATTTGAATCGACAATTGTATCTCTGTGCTAATGTGGTATGGCAACTTGAACTGATGTACGTATGTGCGAAGTTCGACTTTGTTATGACTGACTTGTATGTAGACGGTTTTTTATACAGCTGTCTCTAATCTCTCAGTTACAATAGTCGTTGTTCAGTGTGTAATTCACAATTTGTTTTATTTGAGATATATCCTCTTGAGTGCCGACTTGTTAACATGATTCTGTAATTCATTTCATACCATTTTTTCTTTGTTGTAGTTTTTAAAACCCAGCTTATCAAGCTTTATGATTCCCTGGATTATCAAGCATAATACGGTCGTGTTTGTGTTGAACTACTAAGCCTGATACCCTTGGTTCCGTGTAAAGCATATAAAATAACTTTTAATACATTTACCTGTTATAATATGCGGACGATTCCACATAAATGAACATTTCTGTTTCATACGGACAGCGACTGCTTCTGTTCTAACCTTTCATTCATATATATGATTCTACAATGAGGTGAGTTTTTTCGTTTTTTTTTCTAATGAGACATTAAAAATGCATGTTGAGCGAAGAAATATTTCTTTCCACTAAATTAAGTTAGTTATGTTACTCACTGATTACTACATTCTTAAATTGATGCACCACCATTTATTTGGTATTAATGTTATACTTGATTGTAAAACCTATATATTAGTACAGAGCCAATCAAACAATTATTTCTCTGCTCCACTTGTATTTTTAACGTTCCTATGGGAGTATTTAACAAGCTGAATTACTATTGGATTGGATTTTTTTAAAAGTCATGGACACCTAGTCATATATATATATATATATATATATATATATATATATATCGTTGTCAGCTCCACATCAAATAAAAATCCTTAATGTATTGATCATCGCAAGCAATAAACAACAGTACCTATATTTGCGACTGCTATTATCACGGTTGAACATAATTCACTAATACTTATAATAACCAGCTTTGTGGGTTTTAGTAACTATATTTTCGTCTGCTCTTAGCCCTGAAGATAGCTTTCGACCCTTAAAGTCTGGTTACTTTCTTACTCCCCAATTTAGCTGCAATAAAATTTCTATTTTCGTGGTAACCTCGAAGGCAAGCAAGAAATCCCTAAAATATGGGTGGTCTTAACTGGCTTCGTTACTAACATAGATGTCAGTTTCAAGTAATGTCCATCTTAGACTGAAATGAAGAGATCCCATCAAATGTTCTTATTCCATTTTAAGGTGCATTTACAAGCATAAATTAGTAAAGCCGGTCATCCTGTGATTGGTTTTTAATGTTTTGAGACTTTAATAAGTTCATTGTGGAACACGTCTTCCCATCAATATAACTTAAATGATTTGTTACGATATGCAGTCCAAACCGCCGCATCATGTTAACAGCTAGAATTAGGTTAAATCTAATCGTGGTTACTGCGTTGATGAAAATAAAGATTTCAGTGGTTTCTAACTGACTTACCACACGTACATATCGCAATGATTATTATCTGGTTTCACCAAGAGCAATTCATTATTGACCGATTTTTTTTAATATCAGGTTCAACAAATCTTACAATATGCTAAAAGCATGCCTCGTACCTCGATTTCTGAATTTCGTAATTGTGATTTGCTATAGATATTGTCAAATGGCGAAATGTTAAGGTGTTATGCGTATCGTGTAGGTGATTTCTGTCGAATCATAAAATATGTAGACTTTAGAATCGTAAAGCAGATACTTATTTCGACATTCTGGTTTGATTATTGTCGTATACTTGTTATACAGTTAGGTTTTCGTTTCCCTGATTCTTATGAAGAATACAATAAATCGACCCGTAGTCATCCTCCTCATACTCTTTAGTGTATAATTTAACAAATTATAATTTATTATACCTAACTTGTACATTCTATCCATAACTTCGACTAGCCTTTTTAAATTATCTGTATAGAATTTTACTCCGCTTTGACATCTACTTGTACGTAAACCTACCTTCTATACTTCCAGTTTATTAAAAAAATTGCTGTCCGTTAAATTAATCCATCATTTATGCACATAAATGTATGTACGTTCATGTCCTTAAAAGTTTGTCTATCGTGTATCCTTAAATAAGTATTCCAAAATCTGGTCACGCCTCAAGATTTGTTTGTTTATCAACTGAGTTTGATAGTGAACAAGGGACAGACATGAAAGTAGTAGGACATATTCATCATGCGATTACCTGATATCTATAAGCTAGTCACACCTATAATATTTTTTTTGAAGTTGAATGTATGCATCTTTAGATACCAATTTCACCTTATCTCCCGTGTGTAGGCTATAGCTATGTTTTTGAACGGTCAAGTTTTAAAACTCGATTTTAGTTTTATAAACCATTAAAATGCAAGTTACAGTTAGATAGAAAGGCGAAGGTTGTATTCTTCTTAAGACTGATAACATATATATCACGGCTAACGAATTTAAGCTAACACCCAATATTTCTTTTTCAGTAGATACTCTTAAAGAGAACTGCAATTTGCTATGTAGACAACAACTGCTTTCAAAGCTACATACATGTGTACAGTATCTTCATTTAACTCCCCCTAAATTTTTCATGTTGAAGTTCTATTCTGGTAAGCATTATATTTCAAGGTTGATACTGACTTTATATGAGCAATATTCAACGACCGATGGAATTATCTGAATAACTATTTTAGTATCTGCCCCCCCCCCAGAGCTCTGAGTTTAACATCGTGTAGGCAATCACAGTTTATTTCGTTTCGGTTTCTGTCGAGAAAACACCACTTTTCTCCTCATTTCGATTTCAGTTTCGTGTCTTTTAACCTTTAATTGGTACATTGTTCGTATTTTCATGATTATTAAGATTAGTTCATCTGTATCGAATCCGCGATTCAGCATTGTCAAGAGTTATACTTTTGTTACTAATTTCGAGACCTTTCAATGATAGACTTAATACTCAATTGTCATTTCGGAGATATTTGATTTCTTTTTTATTCTTATCAACCACTCTTTCTGACTTTGTCCATCCTTCCCCTCCCCAACAATTATAGCATTTTATCCTATACTATGTACAAAAAGACATTAGTTATTTCAATAAAATACCACTGATTTCCTGACAGTTTATTAAGTTAACTGAATACTTTCTCAGTGTATCTATTCATATTATTTAGAAATCATTCACATGCCTCTGATATTTAAGCTAAGTTGCAAGATTATTCACTGTAGTTTGTAAATACAATGTGTCAAGGAACTGGCTATTCAAACGTCGTTTTCATTTCATTACATCTTATTAATTTATTTATAATCAAGAACGCCCTTCGCAAATTGTCGCATCAGATAATAACAGAAGGCGAGATAATTTCAAAGAAAAGGAACAAGTGACGTCATCAAGATACAAAAGTACGCTTAGAGCCATGTACACCACTGAGGTTAAAGCCTCTCTATCAATCAACATGATTTGAGCGCCGAAGACCTGTCTTTACCTTCTCGCTTGTAGAAACGCTCCTGTCTCGTGAAGTCAGTAGACCGAATTCTCCTCACCTCCCATTGCCTTTGGGTGACGATTTCTTTTCTATGCACAAATATTTCTGCTAATTAATGATAGGTTAATTTTATTTTTGCTAAATTAACTTTTCTGCATATAAATATGCTAATTGATTTTGTGGGTAAATTTATCATGCTAACCGCATAGTACTTCTCCATATTGTAGAGAATGCAAATATTTGCGTATTTCACTACTGATTTTTGTGAATGCTCTAATTTAGTGCATATCTATTTGTTTCCTTTTACTACCCGATATCATTTTTATTAGTTTCCTCCGTAGGCGTGTGTATGTATACTTACTGTTGATAAACTGCTAATTTTTTTTCTCTTCTACAGTTACTTTATATTTGTTTTCTCTTACCCTATCATCTCTTTCATGTAACTAATAATCTTTTCAAAACGATAATGTTTATCTATGCCTTGATGATTGGTTAATTTTGCCATAGTTCGTTGTCCAAACTGGCTTTAATTTTTCTGCCAGTTCGGTTTTCAATCTTGTCTCATTGGTAAAGTTGTGGTGTGCCATTGTCTCTCATTACTTTACAAAACCAACTGCACTTGCCACCTACTACTACTACTACTGCTACTATTGTCCGTTTCAAATTTTAATAGTAATAATTTGGCATTGATCGGTCTGTTGATTGGCCTGCATTAATCAAAGTAATTCACTCTCATTTTTATTAATTTATTGTTTTGCCTGTCTGTCTACCCTACTATCTGTGTATCCAGTTTTGTATGTATATGTGTGCGCGTGTCTACAAATTTTATGTCCTGAATTTTAATCTCATACAAATATCAGTATTTGTATTACTCTAGGTGTTCCTTTTGATTGTTTGTCTATTCGTATGTGTGTACATTCTTCTTATTACATGTTCTTCGAATTTTTAAAAATTTAATGTCCTTCCTCGGGCAGTCAAATTAGCTGCCCTAGATAGATTAGAGATGTTCTCGTTTATTTGCACTAGATACTATTCTTTATTCCTTGTGAAAGTTAATGCTATCTTGTATTGACAAATTAAGTGCAATAGATGACAGACTAATCATCAATAATATTGAATTTTATCAATAAGTAGTATATCTCAAAGTTCAGGCATACTTTCTCATCCTGATCTGTCTCATTTTGATTGAAAATGTAATGATATGTACTATATGCAAAAACACCATTACTAGATTGATCATTTTGTATTTGAATGATCTGTATCATTTGTAGCTAGATTTCACAGTTGTTAACACTAATGAAAAGTCTCACGAATCTGTGCTCTGCTTTACATTTATATTTGCATTAGTTAACTCTCCGCTTTTCACTGGTGTGCTAACAACACCTTGTGTTATCTGTTGTAATAATTGGAAAAAGCCTCTCGTAAGCTCACTTTATAATTTTCAAAAGCACAAAAATCCTATTCTTTCTACTAATCCGTCGTAGTCTTTGTCCATGGTTCGAATCATTACATTAGGAATAGCCAAACCAAGATGTGACATCGGTCAATGAATTTATTAACCATTATTATACACAATGCTAGTAGGTCGAGACTACAAGGTTGATGTAAACACGACAACTTCATGATCACTTAGTTGCTGGAGCCCTTGAGAGGGATAGTTGACAGTCAATCGAAATGATATAGGCAACATTTATTTGACCTAAGATATTGAGTTCCACCTCACATACCATCATTATACCTTTTTGAATTATTTCAATATTTATTCTCTTTCACTATCAGTGACACATTATTTAGATTCTCCTGATATCGATCTCGTTGTACATACTTGTGGTATCGAAAATTGAACTCATCCATATTTATCAGAATGGGTTTTGTGGAGATTTTAGAAATTTCACAGATTGAAATCATGAGTCAGTTGAAGCTAGACCAATGGTGGTCTAGCTTCAACTGACTCATGATTTCAATCTGTGAAATTTCATCCATATTTCTTACGAGCTCTACGTTGGTCATGCTTGACTAGTTTTATTTGGACAGTTCTTTATGTAATCTTCAGTGCATTTATTTTTGTTTTACTACACATTAAATAAGATCAAGTTTCTATTTGAATCGATACATATTTATCACTAATTATATTGATTGATGGCCACATTACGTCATAGAGTGACTGAATTTGTAGGCGTTAGATATTTCATGTACAATTAAATTAATAAGTGTGCAGTATTCCTTCCACTATGACGGTAATCAATTGGTTTGGATTTAGTTGTAGTGGTAAGTACACACTGGTGATAATCCTCAGACTAGGAAAATCACCATGTCCCGTTTCTTTTATGGTTTTCGATAGATCTTGTTGATTTCACTTCGAGATAAAAAGTACCGTCATATTAAAATTATAATTGAATATACGTTTAACCGGGACAGCACGAATTCGAAAAGCTCGTTTGCTAACTTACGACACTTATGGCGAAAACGGGATATCCGTCTTTCAATTAAGGGACGAGTTTATTGCGCAGTAGTTCGTTCTGTTGTACAGCGAAACGTGGCCATTAAGAGTAGAAAATAGTCATAAGCTACTAGTATTTGACCACAGATGTCTTAGAAATATTGTTGGCATCTGCTGGAATCACTGGGTAAGCGATAGTGAGGATAGACGCAGGGTATTAGGAAATGATGGTAAATCAGTTGATGAGGTTGTGAATCTTCATCGACTGAGATGGTCGGGCATGTGTTACACATACCTGACCACCGATTACCACGACACACAATGCCGACTAGTATCGGAGACGGATTGTGTGGCGCATATATATTTGGTGCCCTCTTGTGTGTGTTCAAATAAATAATAAGTAAATAAATGGAGACGGATGGAAGAAAGTTAGGGTCGGCCAAACGGAAACGTGGCATCAATGCTTGAAGTCACTAACTTGTGTTCTGAGCCATGTTGGTAGATGCAGAGTTCGTGGTTGGGTTCCGTGTGACTATCGTAACCAATGGTTTGAGACTGTAGGTGACATAGCCGAAAATCGTTCACAATGGCTTAGGTGTATACACTCTCTATCTTCCCTTAAACTATAAGACTAAAATTATTTCATATCTTTCTTTCTACGTACTAAATCTTTCTTCCTATACTATATCCCTATATGCAATCTTTCTTTTATATATTACCACCTCTGAATTATCTACTTTTATGAATCCAGTGTTCGTCTTGCGGTATGGGAATTCGGACCGATGCATATATGTGCCTAGTCCTACGTCATAACTGACTGACTAAGCGGGACATTTACTGGAAAGCTGTGGTTTTGCAAGAATTCCATGCTTAAATACTAATTAGATTTTTTCAGTCACGTGTTTTGAATAATACTTTGTTTATTTCTATTTAAAATGATTGTTGTTACCTCTATTTCTGAAATTTCTTTTCGTAAAATTTAGACCTGCTTGTGCATATCCTCCTATTCTTCAAACTAATATTACAAATGGACCAGATTTGTACAGGGAACGTGATACATTTAATTATGGTGTTGCCAACGGTCAACCATTACCTGTACAACCACTGAGCTCTAACCAAGCTATGTATCATGGTTCCGTATCTGCTCCTGGACTTGGTTGTCCAAACACAACAATGAGCCCACAGTCCCAAATGCCAACGCAACAATCTCACTTTCAAATGCAACAGTATTCTCAAATGCAACAATCTTATGGTGATGCTATGGGAAACTGTCAAGTATCTTCATTTCAACCACAACAACAGTATCCAACCATGATTTTGAATTCCAACTTAGATAAGGTAGCTTCTCAACAGTTATCTACATCTGAATCACCACCTAATTTAAATTATATTAGAAATCCTAATATTAATGGTGCTTTACCACATTCTCAGATCATGTCCAACACAACAGCTTCTTACGGTCTACCTTCAGCTCCGAATTGTACCACAGTAGCATCACATCAACCAAGAACATCTCTTATTTCAATGGGAACTCAAAATATCGTCAACAGAAATATTCCTCAGTCACAACAAATCTCCTGTCGATCATCTGCCACTAGGGTTGTTTCATCTGAATCAGTTTGTAAGTTCATGGAATAATTTATATCATATTAGTTAACAGTAATTAATTAGTTTTTCGATTTCGCATTTAACTTCCTAATATTTAATTTGGAATACTATTTAACGATTAAATTATAAAGCTATTGTTTGTTCATTATTTATAGTTACACTGTGGAACTCAATTTTTAATTTAAATATGATTATCACGCGATGTACAATAAGATAAATGCCTTATATAATAATTGTACTTTATATAACGTCTCACTATACGAGGACTTATTTCGTCTGTTTACCTGCCATTTGGTAATTTATGTAATTTGTTTTACTGTTGGGGAAAATTTGAACTGTAAAATTAGCCGCCACTCACTTTCTATGGCTTAAATTATGATTTTATTCAATAGTTCAGTTTTTATAGAATTTGACTATATGTAATTCTCATGAGAAAATTGTTTAAGTATTCTTCGATTTCGTCAGCTTCATAATTTCTGAAACCTGTCCCTTTCTTTTGACTTGACTGCTTTTTTGATGATATCGTAATGCAATTGCATTTTATTGACTTGCTAATTTTCTGTTTTTATTTAAATTTGTTTTTAAATATCTTACTTGTGGGGGATTATGACTATTTTATTAATTTTCCTGGTTTTCAACAATCAGTAAAACTTAATTCTACAGATTCATCGTAGAGTTTTGATATTATTCTTCTTTCTATTGATAAAATTTGTAAAAACTTTGAAAATAGTGCGGTTATTAATAAGGTCAGAGCATATGTATTCATTTAATTCTCCACTTTTCTTTGTCTGTATAGTGACGTTTGTCAAAGGATAGTGATTTCTGGTTATTAAAGTGTTTACTTGATGAACTGTTAAAAATTCAGTTACAATTTGTCACATTATTGGTTAAAATATTTTAAATTAAAGTATTTCTCATAACCATTCGATTAATAACATTTTACAATGTTACTTTTAAGCTTGCAATAAAGAATTAAATAAATAAATATATTTATCTATCATAGAGGCTACCTAATTAAAAAAAACATGCAATGGTACGCTTAACCTTGAGGCCATTGTAGTAGTTAAATTGTTTGAAATGTACTTTTTTTCAAAATCATTTTGTAATTCATAGGATTTTTAATAGTTATCTAAACTAGTAAATTTTCTGGAATATGAACAAGTGTTTGTTAATCTGTTTGTTACTCTAATCGTGCAAAAACGCGACTGTTACTACTCGTTTACTCAAGTCCTTAAGTAAATAAAAGATGTAAATTAACTCACTCACCAGTTTAAAAGTTTGAGTGCTAATGGTACTATTTATTTACCCAACGTATGTCCGGACCTGGAATTTGGTGGCTCAAAGTAAATGCCTTAACCGTTAAGATTGTTACCCTTCTCGAAGCATAGACCGCCGATTAGAAAATCTCCAACCAACTCTTTCTTGAGCTCTCCTTTCAAGTTCTACTCATGATTTTGATATATCCTTCCAATTCCAGGCACCATGAGTTTTTTGCTCTCCTTTTTTTCTTTTTACTGAGAAGACTCGAAGTTGGGGTTCGCTTTGTGGCAGTTTGATGACTTCCTCATAGTATGTCTATCTTCAGCGTCTTTTCCTAAATTATTCCTGAGCTGGGAGCTGATTTGTTATCTGCTGTAGTAGATCATTGCTGGTAGTCTCTGTTAGTGTAGTGGGTTTGGAAAATTTGCTTGAACAGTTGATTGTGAATACTTGCACTTATTTAGTGACTATGGTGGTGGTTCTCCAGGTTTCAACATTTTTGTTAAAAATTCTGACTTTGGTCTTGGCTGAGAGTGGTTTTGAGCTATAAATATTCTTCAACTGTAGGAATGCTGCCCATATTTAACCGATTCACGCTTTAGGTTTTGCATTAGATCCTCCATTTATATCAATGATATTACTCAAGTATATTGAAGCTTCCATTTCTTCTAGAGCTATGTCATCAAGTATGATTTACATGGTACTCTCACTGATGTAGTGGAGTTGTTTTTTAAGAAATGAGCTGGCTAACGATACTACCGTTAACCCTCTTCTACTCGGGCTTGCAACTGACAATAACTACGGAGGGGATCCGGGCAACGTTGCAATATCCATACCGTTTAATAATAATAATTATTATTATTATTATTATTATTATTATTTTACGGAGTATTATCAACATAAATCAGTCTTAGTAGTATTTCTTTAGTGTTATTTATAAAAGTGTCTACTGTTACAGCATAAATCTGAACCTTATTTATTTAGATGTTTACTGGTGTTGATAATTATGACATTCATGATGTTTGTTTTCTTCTCTACTAACTAATATAATAAATAACATAAACACGATAATTTAAATCTTTCCGTCTTTATTGTTTTGTTTCTCTCCCCCACCTGTTCATGTTTATTATTTAGTGATTTAATCAATGTTTGTAGTGTTATCATTCTTCATGATATTATTGTCATCATCTAACATTAAATATACATAGATATTAATAATTCGTTAGCTTTTTGTTTAAAAATCAAACATGGACTACTTAAAAACAAATATGTCTTTATTTCTCTTTGATAAGTTAAGTTCTGTAATTTTGAAGACTTCTTGTTATTATTTTACTGTGTAAAGGAAAAAAAGTCAATTCAATGTATACAATTTTATTGGTATTCATTTTATATCACTGAGATTATCATTCTTTACTTTCTGTTTATTATGTTAATAGGCATTATTATTGTCACTGTCATTATGCTCTAGGTTTAGGGAACCAGGTGAGGAACATTGTAGTCTTTACGTTTTAACTTCATTGCTTTCTTTCAATGTTCTCGATACGAATTGTGGAACTAATCTTGAATTCTTTACCCTTATTTTTACGTAGATAAATCTATGTGCTAGTAATTCTTATGATATAATTTTAGATAAGAGTGGGATGGAGAATGCCGTTTGGCGGCCTATGCTCCATTGAGAGTAACAGGCCTAAGTAAGTAATTTTAGTTAAAGAAAAAAACTGATAGATCTCTTGATAACTTGTTTTATCAATTTTAACATTTGAATGACTCTAGAATTTCTAATAATTTTAAGAAAACCTATTTTATTATAGCTTTCCAACCATCATCAATGTATCTTCCATATTCTTCGGAATGCCCAGTTACGCAACCAGGATCTGGAATAACTGCTCCATATTCTGTGGCGATGTCGACGTGCAACACAATACCTCAGGTGATTAACAACACTATGATACCAGGCTCAGTCTGTTGTCCTGGGCAGTCGCCCAGGCCACCTGCTGGTAGTCGGAATCAAGTCTCTTCTAATGCCCCAACTTCTACACCTTTAATGCAACAACAACAAATGTATAGCTCACAACAGTCACGTTCTTTAAACAATCCTAGTGTTTACTCAGGCTCATGTTATGGAAATCAACAGTATACCCAACCATCACCAGCTTTCCGACCAAGCCCAAGTACTATGAACTCCCAAACAACAGCATCTGTAGTAACGCGTTCAACTACTCCTAGAGACGCTCAGGGCAACAATTGCCTTACTATGCATCACACGTTACCGCAACAGCACTCTCAACAGCTCTCAGTTTCTCAATGTTCAAATCCTTCACCAATTGTTGGACCCGGATCTTTGCAATCTGGTGTTAGGTCGATTGGTAGTTGTAGTGTTAATAGTGGTACTACTTCAATATACAATCATCCGTGTACTCCTACAGGACATTCCGTGCCAAGTGCAATAGGGAGTAACCAAACCGTTGCACCTAATCCTTCCACTCCTCCATGTGTGATGCCAACTGGAAACTCGAGGGTTATGGGATCTCATGTAAGTTTTGCAAATTTAAAAAATATTGGCTCGAACGACATCTAATCTTCTCCAAGTCATTTGTATTTTCCTATCATTTGTTGGGTATATTTCTGTAACAAATTAGTCGTTTTATAACTCTATTACTCTCAGATCCTTTATTGTCTCATGAAAACAAAACTGTTGTCTCTTAATTTGCATTAAATTAGAAATATGTTGTTTTGCGAATTACTCTGTATGTTCTGTTATCGAGTATTTAAGAAGTGTAACTTCATAGATTAGGTAAATGATTATGATCTCGAATCATTTTTTGAGCTGGATGGTTTACTCCTAAAGCTTTCATTGTCCTTCCAAATAGTACCGTCTGTACAAGCCTCAGACAGAACTGAGTTGCTCGAATTTATCAACATATGACTGAACGCTTAGTCGCTTGACCTTGATCTTGATTATTTTTTACCCTTGTTCTGTCATTATCTACATATTTATCTTGACTGTCATCTTTTTTGACCCCGCAACTTCCCATTATTTTCCTATCTATCTGATAACTCGGATCGATTTCGACGCGTCTATTGACTGCTGATAGACCCATATATAAAGGATATATTGGAAATTACGACAAGATTATCCAGGCCTTTTAGAATAGGCGTTTGTGTAAATAATATTGTCTAAAAGAACAATGAAAGCTTCATAATTAAACCAATCAGCTCAGAGAACTAAGCTCTACCAAAATCTCTCAAAAAGTGACTGTTCATCTCGAACCTGAAATTTACCATCAGTGAAATAAGAGTAAGCTTTCTAAAGTTGACGTTTGATATTTAAGGCCTACTATTCGTTCTACCCATAAATTGTGTTATTTTAATCTAAAACAAACGCAGTTTATAATTTTTTTGCCAAGTTCATAAACATGACCATCCATAGAAACAGAAAATTACCAAAACTTATGAAGAACTGTCATCATGGTGTAGAAAACTGATGTGAATGTTCTGGGATACATGTTTAGACTTATCACGCTTGCGTCTAACTGGACACAGAATAACCACATTAAGAAGACCCATAAGAGTTCAATTCAGCGACAAGAAAGTCAAACGTAAACTCCAGCAGCAACTTAAGTCACACTTAGGCAATTTCCAAAACGAGACAGACCTAGATGTTGCTTGGAAAGATGTACGAACAGTTGCGGATACACAAGCGTCATTTATTGGTGAATTGAACCAAAGGGTTACAAAAAACCAGTGAATTTCTGCTACATCTATTGCACTGATAGATCTCCGTAAACTTATCCATCAGGCTCCGAACACAATGACGAGCGCAAAAAATTCAAATCTGGACTAACCAAAAGTTGACGGGACGATCGCGTGTAGTAGTGCGCAACGAAAGCAAAAGGCTTGGAAAAGGCAGTAGGTGTATGTAACAACAGACAAATAAAAGATACTAGAATTAAGAAGTCAAACGTAAGTGGAACTATCTCGGGAAAAGACGATACTATAATCTGCTCTCAGCCCAGACGTTTAGAACGATAGACGGAACACTTTAAGGAGCAGTACAACTGGTCTTCAGCTACTCTCCAACTACCGACCATTCCCAGATAGCTTGAATGGAACATTGAAGTATGTCCCCCTACTCTATCTGAAGTTCACAAGGCTATAGTTAATCTGAAACGAGGAAGAGCAGCAGGTGCAGATGGATTGACTCCATATGTCTCTAAGTATAGTGGTCCAGTTTTAGCGATCAGGTTGATTAATATTTTATCTAAGACCTGGGGATTGGACGTGATCTCATCTGACTGATCTCAATCACTGATTGTCCCAATATATAAGAATGGGTCAAAATCATCCTGTGATAACCATAGAGGGATTAGTTTGACTAATATAGCATCTAAAATACTAGCGTCAATAATTACCGGACGCCTAATAAAGACTCGTGAACTGGAAACACGAGAAAGTCAGACTTGCTTGAGACGTGGTCGTGGCTGCATTGACCACATATTCACCATTCGTCAGATTTTAGAACACAGACATGCTTGTCGGTGTCCGACAATGGTTGTCTTTCTTGACTTGAAAACAGCATTTGACTCTGTAGACCGAGAGGTTCTGTGGCAATGTCTGTCATTGAAAGGTGTACCTCAGAAGTATATAAACCTTGTGCAGGCTCTTTACCCGCACTACTAGTCGAGTGAGAGCTTATGGTGAACTGTCATCTGTTTTTGCAACCTTGAGTGGTGTCCGTCAAGGCTGTACACTTTCTCCATTTTTATTTAACTTCATCATAGACCTACTGATGGAAATAACGCTCTCATCGATTGTGACTTCAAGAGATACTTCTGGAGTTCTAATGAGAAGCCGTTACTAGTGGAGTTCAACCAGGTCTGTTGTGAGATATCAGCTCATTTAAGACAATGATATACGGTGGCGTAACTTCGTGGATTGGTTGAAGTTAGACATTAGCACCATTGGACGCCGGGTCAGTGGTCTAGTTGGTCAAGCGCTTGGCGCGAGACTGATAGATCGTGGGTTCGAATCTCGCGGGGTGCGGGATCGTGGGTGCGCACAGATGAGGAGTCCTGTACTAGGGCGAAACGGCCGTTCAGTGTTCTCAGGTTTTCCATGGCGGTCTAGCTTCAATTGACTCATGATTTCAATCTGTGAAGTTTCTAAAATCTCCACAAACCCCTTCTGATAACAAATATTTATCGACTACATATAGCCTACCATTTTTGTATGTGATATATATATCATTTTTTTTTGCTTCTGTAGGTGAATCCAGGTGTTGGTGAACTCTGCTACTTACCACCACCCCCTAGTCGGCCAATTTCTTCCGGTGGTCGTGAAGTTGTCATGACTGCAGTTTCAATAGGTAGTGGTGGTGGTGGTCCTTTAGTAGCATCGTCAGGTAATGAAATGATGTTAAATTCAAATTTTCACATTTCAACTGGCTTAAATCCATCCACATCGACATCTTTCAGTGGAAATAATTCTCAGGTATCTGTTTATTTGATCTAAACTTGTTTCCTTTTTTCTTTTCATTTTTCGTCATATAATACAGTTATTGTATTTTTAAACTGGATTGGTATCTAAAACGTGACTTCAGGCCTTTAGCGTTTTTATCACGATATTATTTCTTACTGAAAGATTGTACCTGAGCTTGAAGTGTATCTGTTTTTCGATATCTCAGGTTATTGTGCTTAGCAGTAATTAATTTATAGCTCACCTGTCAAGTATGTTTCTTTGTCAGTGAAACTACACCTTTCTTGAGGTAATAAAAAAGTTACTCTTTCTGTGTACATAATATCCTAATCTCTGCAGGAGTGCTTATCTTATGACTTTGTTTTGATAATGTGCCACTTTAGTAACTTAAATCACGTGGGTAACCTGACGGTTCAGCTACGTTGTTTTAAAAAAGCTCAATTCTTACAAAGTTTTATCTGTTCCGTCTTAAATTCACATTGCCTGTACGTTTTACATTCTTTCTGATTAGCTATTAGAAATCGTGAACTATTAATAGAGGTAAATTCATTAAATTGTTACTTTTCAAACGCTAATGCAGAATTTGTTCCCTTTTCCTTTATCTAAATAAATAACCTCAGCTAAAGGCACCTGAATGATACGTATGCCGTAGTTGAATGTCTGGATACAAAGCTCAGTTTAGTAACATTGACAATAATTCAGTCAATGTTGCCAGCTAGGGACATCAGGTTCAGTGGTTTGGTTATCTTTTCAGCATCTCCCGTTTCGTGCGTCATTGGGACTTGGTAGAAAAAACAATGAGGTGATCACTTTATGACATGGAGCCCCAATATAAAAGATAACTATAGGAGTTACACCCATATTTATCGATTGTCATAGGAATTAAACGTGAATTTAATTCCAATGGAATAAGTATGACTGAATTTGGCAAGTAAACAATAATATTAAGCGTAAAGTTGGGGTTGAAAAATGATTGCAACATCGTCGCTTCAAATTACCACAGATTGAAACATGGAATTTGTATTCATCAATACCGTTCACTTCAACAATCAGTGACACTTCCCGGTTTGTCCAATCTCACCATTTTTTCAAACAATTCCTACATTAGCCAACATTATGCATCCCTGTAGTCAGTGATTAGCTTTGAGAAACATTCGAACTATCCATGTTGAATAAACTTTATGACCTTGCCAGTTGACCCTACTGCGAATTTAATGTTTCCACACTACGTGAGCAATCCTGCTAAGATCTATGTAATCAAATACTGTCGACAAATTTTTCTGCTTTCACGTCACATCCCACAGCTGTTGAGCTGTACAAAAATGATAGCTAGGCAGTATACTCGACACTAAGTTGATTGACGTTTCATTTAGGTGAAGCTTTGTCCTCTGAGCAGGGTGTTTTGCTTGTGTTGCTCTCATTTTTCTTCTGAACAATATCATCAGCACAAGCTTCAAGTAGAAGTAAAGCGTTCGAATCTTCTAATCTTATTCACTATCTCAAAATGACATTTTACCGGTGCTACTGACAGAAATATTAACCAAATTCAGTTATGCTTTTTGGATATATTATTCAAAAATCCGCATCCGCCTGTCATAAGTTGACCTTTTATATGAAGCATTATGTGTCTCACCACTATATTCTGTGATGTGCTCATAAACAGAATTCTTTTTATTGTCTTATTCCACGTCGTTCAATCTCAGATCCACGGGCTTCAAAATGATTTTGATGGGTCTGTTCCAAACAGTTCCCCATTAATGATGATGACTATGCCAGTTTCTTCACCAATTCCTGGAAATTTCATTAATGGTCCAATGCATGCGAATGTAATGAATATGTCTATGGTTAGTTCAACACCAGCTCCTCCACCATACCATCAACCTACTTCTATGATGCCTTGCCGATCAATGGGTCCATCCTTTTTCAGTCCTACTTCTATGTCAATGGCTCCTATCACAGTGACTTCCGCTGTCTATTTAAACTCAATCCCTACTTTTTCAACTGTACCAGATCCTGGCAGTGTAAATAATAGTGATCGCGGTATGTATGGAATTATCGGAGAAAATATAATTGGCTCTTCTGTGAACAGTAAGCAAGCATCTGGAACAAACAAAACTCGACCCAAAAGAGTTCGAGGCAGTAAGGTTAGTATAGTATCATATGTATATTGCATGTCAACTCTTTTCTAACATGCTTTTTCTGCTTTATTTTTCATACAAGTATAATTTTCGCAAAAATTAATTTATAACTATACGTCGTCCCATCAACAGCTTTGTTCATAACGTGATCAATTGTATAGTACTGTAGTAGGAAATTTAGAATTCCTAAACCAATTAAGTTTGTTAGTGGAGAACAGATTTTAGTGATTGCGAATTAGTAACATTTCATATTAGAAAGTTGTAAATTGTTCGCTTAATGCATTTTATTTCTGTGATTCACACTTTTAACATGAGATTATATATATAATATTGTTATAAATTGAGGATAAATGACATGTACGATTTTTCATAATACAGAAAATTATTTTATGTCATAGAGGGAACTTTTTCATGAATATTAATTGATTTGTTCCTGTTTATTTCCCTTCAGCACAAACGGTAAGATGGGATGAACAGGATAGGGATATATACCTCCTCTTAAACTAATCTAATCTCATCATCTATATCACATAATGAAATTCTTATGATGTATCGGTTTATTGTAACTCAATAATCATCAACTGTCATCGTTTTCTTTTTTATTTCCGCTCATAGCTATGGTGTATAAGAATGAAAAGAAATCTAGAAATTTTGTTAATTTATTTAACACATTCAATTACAAGTGTATATTCCCCAACTTTATATTTTTTCGCTACGAACTTCATTCTTTTGATATGTATGTATAATCTCGTTTATATCTAAATATACTATAGTGCAATTCAAATAAAAACAATATGTTGCTCTTTGTTATTATTCACTTCCCTTGTTAGTAATTTTTTCTTATTCTGATAGAAAAATTCTTGTGAATCAATTCTACTACTTATAATCCATTGAAAGTTCAAAATCGATCAGTTTTGTGGTTATTTTACATTGTCGTTTTTAATAAAAAACTTTAGTATGAATTAGGCATATTCTTACTTTGAAATGTGATGTTATGGAAGAACAGTGTTTTGCTAGGATTTCTTATACGTAGAGAGAAGTGTAGTAGTATCATAACACCACTTCATGTAGAAGTTTTTTCTTGCAGTGTTTGATCATTCAGTTTTCCGCATCTCATATTTTCTTTGCTTGATATACTTAGCTTTAATTAGAGATGAATTTTAGGCACATCCACCTTTTTGTCGTGTGATTGTTGTCGTTATTGTTATCTAGTGGATGTAATATTCATGTACCATCGTAACGCGAGAATTTTTTTTAGATCGTAACTTTATTTTATAGTTCTATGACTGGATAAAAATGTTCATACCTACATTGGATATGCTTACTAATTATTTGTTTCAAAGTGGTATTTAGTAAAGTATGCAGACGATTGTCATAAACATCTTTGAACCTGGAACAGATATATGCATTAGTTCAATTTGGCATTTTTTCGTCAAAACATTAAAATAAATGAAATCAAAATTGTAGTGGGAAACTAAATATTAAAACTTTTATTTCGGAAGAAATTAGCGTGATCTCATCAAAACAATGCACAATGATGTTATAAATTTTAGAGTTACTGTTTTTCAACAATAGTTCTAATCATACCCATTTCATTTTAAATTCAACAAGTTTTTCAGATTTGAAGTGATGGTATTTCTTGCATTGTTTCATTTGATTTAATATCTTAATTTCTGTATAGTTGCGTCGCTTTATTTAATTCTATTTTCATTTCCTTTAATGAGTCTAAACGTTATTTCTTTTTATCGCGAATTCCCAATGATGTAACACCTTGTTAATCATACTAAACAAGAAGACAACACTTGTAATGCATTTTTTATCATATATTATTATTACTTTGGTTTTTCATTACTCTGAGACGCGTCACAAAGGTTAATGACTAGCTTTGAACTTTCGGTTTAGATGAGAGTATTTCTTCATACGTTATCTCTGTAGACTTATCTCCCATATTCTATAAGTGATACAGCTAATATCTTTGTCTCGGAACATTGTCTACGGAATTAAATTATTTTTTACCATAACTGGTTTTCGTGCGTATCTCATTGATGGTGTTATTCTGCAGACTGTTTGTGCATGTTGTTATCTTAATTAATTGTAATACTTGCGCTTAGAGATTAGTCATTGTTCATTATCATTAATAATATTCATAGTAATGTAAATATCAGAATCTTTGATAATACTAGTTACTATTTGGTTTTGAAGGTCATTTAAAATACCCGTCATATTGTGTAAGCAAAGTGAGCTATTTTTCATGCAAAATTTTTTTTAAAATCTATAGATATTTTATTTGTATCATTCGTCGTTTGTTTCTTTTTTTCTCTTGTATTTAATGCTTATCACAAATTATTGGCCATTTCTGACTAATTTTAGTCAATATTACACTATACACTTTTCAATCGACTGAAACAGACATGTACACTATGCATCTATCACATATGTGTGAGCCTGTTTTACGCGTATATACACCTTTCATGCAACAAAATTATGCTGAATTCATATCTTGCTGACAATATTTAATACATCAAATCGTATGTGTACATAACTGTATTTGTCTTATATAATTATGTATTCTTGTTTGTGTGCGCGCGTGTGGATCTGTGGTGTTTCTAGTCTCCGGTCTGATATATATATATATATATATATAAAGAGGATAATGATAACTATAACTAATTCAAGAATTTTCCATGAGGTTTCACTTTGAAAAAAAAGAGCATCATTTATACACATAATATCTGTGCACACAATTTTTAATTTGTCTACAATACCTACTTATTAATTGTCCTAAGGTTGATGTATACATGTACGTGTATAGATTGTACATATCTCTTTCTTGGTATCACTCTTCTCTCTCTCGTAGCGCAAGTGTGTGCCTACGCACTTAAGTCAAAGTTTTTCAGTGCGAATATTTTGATAATGTGATAATCGATCTTTCAGTATTTTTAATTTATACCTTTTTCTATCTATAACAAAATAGTGATATGCAATCACTTGTTTTGTCTGTTGAATTTTTCACTTATTATTGTTTCTTTCTACAAAAATAGTATGTTATTATGTCTACCATTATTATTATTATTATTATCATTATTATTATTTGTGGACACGTAATTAGTCTATTACCTATATAAAGTGATTTAACTATTTTGTTGTTAAACTTTTCTCGTTATGGTTCCTCTGAATTTATTACCGTTCATTTAGGATGCCATAATTATGATTCATATCAATTAAAGCCACGTAAAACAAAAACTGTTATATTTTTGTTACTATAACTCGATTAATTACAAATTGGTTGACTTGACTTTTTCGACATGTAGTTATTATTCTTAAATTATGTAAATATTACAAACTCTAAAAGCACGCGTAGTTCATAATTAACTATTGATAAATATTCCTTGTTTTCTGTGTAGAATAAACACTATAACAATTGTCTTATTATTCGTTCAGTTCACCGATATTGTGAAGAGATAATAAAATGTACGTTTATATATTTCACATTTGTTGTATGCAACTTTAATATGGTTCGCCTAAGAAGAACACTTTAATTCTGAATCGTGTTTCGTCCAAAAACTGCGGGTACTTTCAATGATTATCCAATACTAGTTCAACAGTGTGAATAGGATTGTATTCGTCTTTCTTCTTGTGATTCATTCCCATTATTGTGTACCATTTTTCTTTTTATAATCTCAGATGTATTTTGATCAGATTTTCCATCGTTTTTGCTTAGTCATTTACACAAACACTTCCAATCAAATCTCATGTCTCATTACCTATTCACTTAGTTGATTAAAAAAAACTCCGAGTTTTCTTTTTATCTTACTGCTGCCGGTCATGTATTGTATGGTTGAGTTACATTGTTTAGGAATTCGAATATATATTACAACCCTAGGAGCATTTTACTACAGATACTTGAAATGAGTATTCATCTGTCTGACTTGACCTTCAATCACATTATCTGTGGTTCGGTCCGCCATCTATGGTAATAATATTGAATAGTCTAGTAAAAAGGTTTACTTTTTGTTCGAGTTAGTCCAATGTTTTGAACAGCAATCTCGTCCATCTTCACGTTTTATACCATTTTAGATTCAGTTCAATACTTATTTAGTTCATTACAATCTTGCTACCATCTACGTATAAGTTGGTTGTCAATACTTTATATTGGGGAAGCTAAACGAACAGATTCCCTATTTTTTATTTGACATCTTTTTGTTGAAATGTAACTATGTTCAACTGAGTATGATAATAGCTAGACTTCATAAAATTATCTTTCATGTCAACGTTTAAAAAATTAGTTATTTCCAACCCACCTACACTATGCTTTGTCAGGTTTTTTGAGATTGAAAAATTTCTTATTTAGTTTACACTATTCTAAGGGGGGGACGTTGAATATGAGCTCTTTACATATTTTCCAATTGTTTTGCTACTTCTTAACAAGTTATCTCTTGTGTTTCACATGCCTAGGGTCATCTTTTGGGTCACATATTAACTAGCCTACTATTACTAAAGCCATGCTTATATATGTATGTCTCACCGTTTAAAACCTATTAGTTTTGAGATTTGCTGGATTGTATGTCTGACCTCTATCTCGTGCCCTTAGATGACACAGCATTGTCTATGTGCATACTATGTCCGTCCAACTCCTTTTTTTATTTTTTTAAAATGGCTGACTCAGCCATTGAAATGTCATTTATTCACATTTATATTATTTATGTGCTTTGTTTCATGGTCTGACTGGAAGTGTTCATTTCAAGGTTGGGTAAATCATATGATTCGACACCAGAAAACTTTATTCGGGCATATAATAAAATAGCCTCGTGTTTAGCCCCATCCAATTTTCCATATTCCAGACGCATTGCTTGCCGTATGAGTAGCATCTTCATCATGTGTAGTCTTCTTTTGGATTACAGCACATGTTTTCATCTTTCAAATATTGATACATTAAGCATTGTCGTTAAAGATTTCGGCGTCACTTGTGTTAAAATCAATAGTGAATTTACTCGTATAATAATAAT